TCCGTTTCCCTTCCCAGGAACCTCACTTTATAAGTTTACGGGGGTTTTCAAGCTTATCACCACGAGCCTTGGCAGTAGCATTGTGAGGTGTCACTTTTCATCCGCCCGTTGCGTCGTAACCGTTCGTTCGTTGACACACGAACCAGCTTCTGTTTGTCAGCGCTCCATCGCTTTGGGACCTACCTCGGCTCGTTTACAGAGAGTCAGTCAGTCAGTCAGTCATTGGCAACTGGGAATCAATTGCTTCGTCGCACAGGCTGGCATTATTCATCAGCGTCGCTTAGGCCAAGACCCTGGATTTCCACTACCAACTATTCTCTACTCCGTACACTATACTTTGCAGTCCCGGTCTGACACCAAGAAGTCCAGACTGCGCCTCAAATATTTTTCCTCAATAACAGAGTTGACATGGGCGACCCGGGGTTCGTGGAAAATGTGCCGTGGTCGATACGGACGGACCAACTCTTCCTCTATCCCGCAGCGGCCCCTGGATTCTTCTACGTTTCATTCGGTCCATCATTGCACTCTCCGAGAAGCTCAAGTCTCCATTCATTGAGACCCTACTCCGTACATGTGCTGTCAGTGATTTAATATCTTGCTGGGACATATCTTCCTTAAAGAAAATGAAAGGCCGAGAGCTCTTCATGCAAAGAGGAAATAATCATCCCGCGGGTTTATGATGCCTATGCCGCTTCGAGTTCTATACTCACATCGTCCTTCACAGGAGAGTTTGCACTGTCCTGCAATTGCAAGGGTTTTTTAATTCTCCTGCCTTCATTGGACATGGATCTCGGTATGCCTCGATTCCGGCACAGATGTTTAGGCATTGGCACCATCAGTATCGACATACATACATACATGTTGTCATATCAGATGCAAGGGTTCCCATATGGTTGGGCTCTAACTTCTGACTGCCTGCAGTGATGTTTCCATACCGCCTCCCCTTGCTGGACTCACTCCAAACACATTTTCGGCTGATGTCGTTACTGCACTTTCTGAATTTCAGTTACATCAAGTATCTACTGGCGATTTGTGATCACGAAGTTTCGCGTGCAAGAAAGACATGGCCCCAAGACTGGAATCCCAGACCTCTCTGATCTGATCTTGCCACAACGAGACTTGAAGCGCAGGAAAGGAAGGAAAATTCCGAGCAAACAATTATGATATATCATATCAGTACTGATTGGTGTCAATTCTGACTCGCTGAAAAAGGACAGCACATTTGCGAAATGCCATTCTGCATCAGATTTTACGCCTTCCGTAGATAGGCCCCATTCATACTATAGTCTAGGACCGTCAAGCCGGGAAACAGGGACGCGACGGTTTCTCCCTCGGAGCCACTGTAGCTCGATGCAACATTCCAGCAACTTAGAATGGCCCACCGATTTCCACGGCTCAATGCCGTGTTTGAAACAAATGAACGCAAACTGTCAAAGACTTTCTAGTTGAGGAGGCGGATCAGTTTGCTTTGCTCCGTTGGGCTCATGGGTCGCTCAACATTTCCTTTGGCTCCTGTACTACGAATCACAACTCAAGCACTCCTCATGGCGGTCTTCTGCTGCATAGCATGACTTGCTTGCATCCAGCGCCATGAGCTGATTTTCAGTCTCGTCCATCCTGCAGCTTAAGGATACCCGCTGGCTCCCGCCCACGACTGTGCCAACCTGGTGGATCGACCCGCCCGCCACTGCTCTCTTGGCTAATGGGGAGCTTGGACGGGGAAAATACTCTTAGTTTTGAGACATTTAAGAAGTGAAACTATTGGGTGCTTTTCTCGAGGGAGTCGGGAGGGTGGAAGGATCTGACAAGAGATGGAAAGGCTGGTGCTAACTTAATCCAAGATATTCATGATGTTCCGCGAACCGTCCCAACGGTAACTAGCTGTCATAATGCACGACGGGAGTTTATCTGGAATACGGGAGCTGCTGCGCGACAAGGAGGTCCGAGCAATAGGATCAGAACTCGATCTTGATGCTAACAAACGAGATCCACGGAACGAGATGTGTATGTATACTGACGAGTGACAGCCGTTGATCTGCATTTCCTGGCAAAGGGGCTTGAGTCATTCCCAATAAATGATGATATCCAGCTGACCGGTTCCAGTTCCTGAGACAAGCCGGCGGGAACCCTTGAGCAAATTCCCAGCGGCTTGGTCCATATGACCACGTCAATGGTATGTTGCAGGCCTTGACCGCTTCCGTGTCTCATTTCATACGTACAGACGCATCTGTGTGTCGTGCACACAGTCTGGATCAGGCAAGGCCGCAAGGGCGACAAGGAGGGGGGGCCAACTCCTCTGCCGGCCACTACAGCGAACGCCTTTTCATCATTTGCATTCGAGCAAAATCCTCGCATTGGTTGTGTCTGCATTGTTTACGAGTCATCACCCCCCCTCAACTTGGCATCTGTATGTATACCTAGCGCAGCACAAATATCAGATACATTCCCCTGCCAATGTTCGGCGGCGGCGGCGTTCCCAAAAGTCAAGAGAGGAAAAAATGCTCGAGATACACTGATAACTTACGGTGCCCTATGCCAACCAGCTAGAGCGGAGTACGGAAAATGATATCCTTCTCGGCCGTGAACCCTGGATCGGCTATTGAAATGTTTTCGGATAGTGTGGCAGGGTCACTGATGGCGGCAGGCAATCAGCTTCAAGACCACACATACCTATCGAAGGATTAACTTTGACCCCTACAAGGGTTCAGGAAAATAGTTTCGCGTACGGAGTACCGTCATAAGGGATCCAACCGAGCGAGCTAACAGGAACAGAAATAACAGTCAGTGCTCCGTACGGAGTGGGAGTACTCTGTAAAAAGTTTGCACTTGGTTATCCGTGGCAGCATTGACCAAAAGCTCACCATTGCTCCGTTCTCCTGATACGCCTTTCTTGGTAGCATGCGAGGGCCTGATTTTGGTCGGAGACAGTCCCTGGAAAGGCAAGATGCTCGTCGGGCATATAAACACCCGAAGACGGGTCTGCCTGGGGTGATTACCTTGGGGTGATTACCTTCCTGAGCATTTCCAAGACCTCATGTATTTGATCGTTGCTACATACATCACTCCATGATAACTACGGCCGAAATACGGTGGCCGGTTATCCGCAGAGCGCTGCAGCACCGGTGGGCGCTGGCCCAGAAGCCAACTTTGCCCATTGGTCTAAAGCCTGCACAACACTGGATTGGATTGTAGCTGCATGCTGCAACGCTAAGTATTCCCGAGTTTGAGTTCTTGGTGTCATGGCCTGATGACCCAATGGCCCGGAGCCAGCAGTGCAGAAACCTTCGTCATAACGACCGGGTCCTTGAGCAGGGATGTCTAATTCAACTGCGTGGCGAGCAAAGTACCATTGTCAACGGTTGCAGTAACAGAGCGAATACTCTGTCGAGATCATGCAAATTATCTACGACAACATCGCTGAATGAAGCAAACGTCCGTCCAAAATTGGATCCTTTACGACTTCATCAGTGGCGCTGCGGCCCATCCCGTCCCGCGGATCCGCTCCCCGCCACCAATATCCGGCGGCAGCTGGAGAGCGCGGCCGGAACACCGCATCTCCAGCCGCGATTAGTTATTCTCATGCCTCCTGATGGTAGTTCTATTAGAGTGCAGGATTGGCTCTATGATCAGGGACCGTGCCCTAGACTCTGTTGCTCGGAACGCTGCCGGATGTCCCGTCGTCTCGTTCTGAGTTGCATAGTGGCTTCCTCATATCTCTGGGACTGATGAGCTGGCAACTCAGGAACATCGAGTCTCCAGTAGTAAGTACGTCTCTGAGAATAGAGACTCGGTTCACGCAAGTCTCGGGACCTTTGGACCGCAAAAACTGGGCCCTTGGAGATGTCTTTGTTATGCAGGTCCCTTATAAGTTCCATGCAGCGGGAAGTTGGTCCGAGGAGGAGTTTCGCTCAAGTTGCAACGTTACACTCCGCCAAAGTTTTGAGCTCTTTGCCTGCTTTATTCCACGCGTAATGATATGATATTGTATATTTCGTCTTGCCTCGCAGAGCGTCGTCTTGGGATTACTTTCAAGCATGTGATATCTCCTGCAAGCCAGAGCATCCGAGACATGTCCTACTCATTCGTGACAATGTGAGCAACATTTTGATCGGGGATGTTACTTGAGAGAGAATAGCAACAGCAACCTACATACAGAGCCTTGGCCGCAAAATCGCAAGCTGGTCTGTTCTCATCTGCCGGATGGACCGGGACCTCTAGGTGCTCCCACTAACACTGCGCCCGCGGAGCAACTACTAATATCAGGGGCACGTCTTCGCGGCTCTTTGTTAGCGAGAATTCCAACCCGAACCTTAGTTCAGGTGAGTTCCGGTCAAGGAAGGTGTTTGTACGGAGTACGCTCAGTGTTAATTGGTGCACTTAGACTAGAAACCCTTCAGTGCAATACCAACCTCTCTGACGACAAAGAACGTGAGTAATGTTGTGAGTAGTAGATTACCTTGCTATGGGTAATACTGCAGTAGACAGCGAAAAGTTTATGTACAAGACCTTAACTCTTAGAGGTGCATAGTGGCATTGAGCGCTTAAGACTATAATCCTACACCTTCAACTGTCCTAAGAGCTGATATTATACGGTCGGTATCATTAGATACATCTCAGTGACTCTCAAGAATGGATGAGCTGTTCTAATCACAAAATACCTTTGACCACGGTCCATCCTTGACACATTCATGTTACACGTATGCGATAGGTGCTTCTGGCATCATTGTATACTGGGAAAATGGGCAATGCTTCTCGTGATGATGACCTCGAATAAGCAGGTCTCTGAGCAGATATCAACCATGTCGCCAGAACGGTTCATGATCATCACGATGTTGACTCGTTCAGCAACGAACTGAGCTCAGGCGGGAAAGGACAGATGCCGATAAAAAGTTCAATTATGAAAAAGAGAAGCCAATAGCACCAACACGCACCGTGTTGACCCATGGCATCGAATGTAAAGCTGTAAACAACGAGGCACACAACGCAGCAGATGCACTAAACTACCACCTCTGTACCCCTTTCCCTTTACCGACGCCCTCAGTTTCCAGCGCCGGGAACCCATCGCGTTGAACGTCCGACGATGAGTCAAACGTTGACAGACCCTGCTCCTCCATGCTCAGCTTCAGAGCGAGTTCAAGGTCATAGTCCCTAGACTCGATAGTGTTTGACGACCCCGCCTTGGAAATTCCAGGCGACACAGTTCCAGATGGCTTGTTCTTCCTGCCAGACTTGACTTTGTATGTCAAGGAGAATTCGTAATCGCCGGAGCTCGCTGCGTGAGGTGATGGGGGGTTATCATTGACGCCTTCCATCAGAGAAAGGCGGATCGCCTGTTGAATCTGTTGTTCATAGTCGTCCTCGACAGGTACTAACTCAACCTTATCCGTGGAGGCAGGCGGGGGAGTTGCCATGTCCGAGACACTTGGCTCAGGGGTGACGGTATCAACAGTAGTGGTCTCACTGAATGTTGAGGCAGTATCCAGGCTGGCATCGGCAGCGGAGTCGCTTGTCCGACGTTGTTCCTCGAAAAGAAAGGCTTCCTCGGAGACCATCTGCGCATACCGCAATGCCTCTTCTTCAGTCAGGTCGCCGAGCGCGCCGACACCAAAGCGATTGCGCAGACGGTTCTGTTCTCGGGCCTTTTGCTCGTTCTCTCTCTTGATTTCAGCCTCCTCAGCAGCGATGAAATCAATGACTGCACCGCCTTGACGACGACTGGGCAGACGGCCATGAACATCAGAGTGTCTAAGTCGACGCTTGCGTCCTGAAGCGTGACTAGCAGAGCTATACGCCCAGTATCTCAGAAAAGCACCAAATGAAACGACTCCACGGAGGACGGTTGGTTCAGGGTCAAGATAAATAGCACCAACTGCTGAGTAGGTCGACTCGTCAAGAGTTGGGTTCATTGTGACCATGTGTCGAGGCACTCGTCCATTTGACCTTGCGTTGAGAGTTCGAACGGGATCCAATGTTGATGCCAAGGGGTCCCATGCTTGTACCAGTCCATCACTACCGCCATGGACAACATACATAGCCGAGAGTGCCACGCAGGACACTTCTGGGGAGTCAGTCTGGATTTGCCGCACCGGACTGATGCCCGTAGCCTTAGCATCCTCACGAGCGTTCCAGACAAGTACAGCCCCGTCGTCTGTGCCGACAGCAAGCAATCGAGATCTGCGGCCTGGAATCTCTTCCTCAGCCGAGTGAAGAGGATCTTCACTGAGTGTCAGGACTGACGTGCTAGATTGATCCATCGAGGCACTAGTGATCACTGCATGACTTTGACCCTTCAGCCTGAAGGAGCAACTCTCCCACTCATGCAGATGGGACATGACATCCAGTGACGACACTGAAGTAGATGTGACGGATTGGCATATCTTCTCATCGGGTCCCTGTGATACCTCTGCCGCAGTAGTCCCGAATAGTGACGGCTGGACGCTGACGGAGACATCAGGAGGCATGGGAGCCAACACGACGGATGACGATTGTGTATCTTGAGGAACTAAAGATCGAGTGTATCGCTGGATATGTGCAGGGCGGTTTTCGGCTAGTCCACAGTCGATGACAAATATGTTTTCACCAGCACCATGGCCGTCATCATTGGCGAAATCGACCTCCAGCTTGCGCTGCATATCCCATCCTTCGCAGACCCTTCGGAAATGTGCGGGCTTTTGGCGCAAGAACTTTTCAATTTCTCGTGCCTCAGCAGCCAACTGACTCTTACTTAGGCTCATAGAATTGGAAGGCGACCGAGGCGAGTAAGCACCTTTGATGGCGTTCTTGTCTGAATCATCTGGTCGAGCAACACGTCGAGTGGAGTCCAATAGATGCCAGTAAACCGAACGTCCAGCGAACCAAGCGTTTTTGGTAATATCTTCGCTCTTGGTTGCGTTTTGTGCAGTAGGTGTTTCAGTCAGATAGAATACTTCGCCCAGAGCATTGAGCGCCACTATCCATACCCTGGCTGAAGACTTGCGCTTCTGGCTATAGTTGTCGTCAACTTTGAGAGAGATAATTGGAACGCCAGGACTAAGCACCCAACGCGCAGTAACTTCTCCAGGTTGGTATCGCTGCGGTCCAGAGTCGGTTCCCAGGGTGTATGAAGTGACGACACCAAGGGTAGAGCCAGTCAGCATCCCAATCATTGACTGGGTATTTGCTGGCACGCTCGACGATTTGGCCAACCATACACTGCAGATTGCTTCGGACATTTCGGGTATCTTAGGGATATCAGGGTAGGTGTCGACGACGCCAGAGTCCGCACCAAGATATCGGCCACGGTTCTCATTGACAGGACGGTAGTAGGGACGACCGCCCGGAAATCCTTCACCTGCAAGAACGCCATATGGCTGACTTACATCGAGGACATTAGGAGTTGCTGCAGGACCCTCCCCCAAGCCAAAGGGAACAAGATTGGGTAACACCTCATCAAGTTGCATTGAGCTGAAAGGATCAACGAATCCCCATTTCTCAACCCTTCCGTTGGTAGGATCACTGACTGAAGCTACTCCCAGATCGGCAGCTCCGTGGATAGCTTTTGGTGGTTTCTTTCCGTTTGTGAAGACAGCGTGAATATTTGTAACAGCCCATGGTAGCTTGGAGTTGTACGTCAACACAGCGCTGGTCTTCTTCCCGGTACGAACAGATGCGCCAATACCCCCAGAGGCAAAGGATGCGCCTGGTTTGCCACGCGCCAGACTTCTAATCAAGCGGGTGCGCAGAAGGTATTCCTTTCTCCATGACGCCATGGGGGTAAGACGAGTGAAATAACGAGATTCAGACTGTATCAGGTCGTGCGAGCTGTGAGCCCACATATCCACATTTTTCTTGGTCTCGAGAGCCTCATGGCCTGGGAAGAATCGTAGGAAGGCCATGCGCCAAGCATGGGAACTGGTTATGAGGGCATAAAAGCGTTTGGAGACGAGAGCGATTGCGGCGTGCGAGTCGGAGTGGAGATGCGAAAGGATATGTGTCAAGATCTCTGAAGTGAGCTCGAGTTAGGATACTGTAGGAAGTTATCAGGTTCAATGGCATGACGCACCGTTTGGGAAGTCTTCAAGCTGCACACCACCAGAGGGGGTTTCGGAGCGCTTGATGACCTTGAAGCCCAGTGCCTTCTTTGGAGTAGGTGGGGTCATTGCATTTTCGTACTCGGAGATGCGCTGGCCAGGAGCTGAAGGTCGAAAAGTCGAGCGATGACCCAAGCTCAGTCGATGTAGCTCCTCATCGAGTAGGTCGGCATCGACGTCATGACCAGAGGCATAGCGGAGTGCCGGTGCAGAGCCCGGTTCAGTGCCACTTGAGTCTCCGGAATAGACTCGGAGAAGGCCACGCGGGTCATGGTGAAGGGGGCCATGCTGGGAGATTGAGGCTTTATAAGGGTTGTCTCGGTGGATCAAATGTTCTGTATTTTCGAGAGGCTCTTGTTGCATATAGCTGAAGGCGTGGAACTCGGGGGAGAAGGATGCTGACCGTGCACAAGATATTTGCACAGTCTGGGATGCCACGGCGAGGTTGTTGAAGCGGTTGGGGAGCTTGTTTGTGCGCTGTTAAGGTGTTTCGTCGCGAAGATGAGGTGTTGGTCGAGGTGATGATCGTTCCAAGAGGAAGTTTCCCTTTTTTGCCTCGCGGCACGTCGAGTTTCCGATCTTGAACTTTGCCGATGATAAGCCGGCGCGAGACACTATTTATACACTGGTGAGCCAATAGACGAGCACTACAAGACATCGTGTTCGATGAAGTGTAAACAAGATGTTATAAGAACCGGTTACTGGAACGTGTGTATTATCTTTTTGGTTTTAGTTTTTCTCCTCTCGTCATATCATCCCCCTTTGTGAAACTGTCATTGCCTGCCTGGTGAGCTCGACTTGAATAAGGCACTGTGAGTCATCAAGGTGTTCGCCAATGGAGCCACAACAGGTTCGCCTCCAGCGGCTTAACTCGCTGGTCAGAAATTTCAACACGTACCGGAATCTCTTCAGCAGTGTGTAAGTCAGCATTGCTGTTTTGGTACATACGTGGGTGAGGCAATGATTCAGTTCTGGTTTGGCTCCTGAGGAAAGATGCAATATTTACCTTCCCTACGGAATTAGGTTTTCATACCTGGTAGCAAGCTTCTGCAATCCTTGAAGCTAAATAAAGATCACAAGATAAGTTCATCCTCAACAGCCCTGAACTATTCTCCTTCGACTTCCTAAGCTTGATCAGTGAGTCGTTTGAATTGCCTCTGCCAAATCCGGGTTTCTGCCAGCCTTTGATTGGCTTGTCAGTGTCCATGACAAAGTGTTTCTAAGCTTTCAGCCACTCAGATTTCCCCACCAAGGCGTGCAGATTGAGCCTGAAACTGCTGATTTCTTGTGATGTTATCTCATATTGCTCGACAGGATACACAGCAAAATTGAACCGCGACTCATGGAGAGGACTTTATTTAAAACTGGCCCTGTGCTGGTTGTGTACAAAGAATTAGCCAGGACTCCAGGAATTATATGTAGGTAGTGTTAAAATTGATCCCTGTGGAATGGCGCCAAGCTTGTCGTGAATGGCATCGAGTTTACAGACAGATATTGGCATTGCATAATAGTGATCTCAGATGTTGTGGTTCCCCATGTAGAAACAAGAATTCTAATTAGTCAAACCATAATGCTCATTAGGTTGGATGTTCTAGTAACGGAGAGTTTCGGGGTCATCAACGTGATCAATGTGTAATTACTCGCATGTATGCTACCTTTGGCAATGTAATGTCAATTCTCATAGATTACAGACCAGATACTCGTATGTCGTGTTTCTCATACATATTTCCAAATCTTTCATGTAATGCTACGTATTGTTGTGCCAAAACCAAAAGCCAGAAGCCACTCTGTTTTCTGAGGGGTCCTGATATGGTGAATCATGTCCAATGCCAGGTTCAAAATAGAATCCAAACGCCAAACGCTATGCATAACCCAGTCATTCCTGTTGCCAAACCTGGCCGTTGTAAAATTGCACCGCTGTCATCCTCTTTCTTCCTCTTTCCATCCTCCTTGGCATTGTTGCTGCTGGTTCCTGTTGCAACAGGTAATTCGTCAGACACTGTTGCTTTCGCCTCGATGGTGGTTACAGTTGAAGCCCCGAAGGGGTATTTTATTGTTATTGTGCCAACGATGATACCGCTGGGCCCGATCGTGATGGTTTCACCACCGGCCACTTTTGTTATGCTCTTGGCGCCAGGACCGGCAGTGAAGGTTGATTCATCGATTATCGCGTATGAAGGGTTGACTTTGGTGATGGTCGCTCCACCAACAATTCGGTTTTTGGTGCCAGTGAGCTCGGCGTCAGACCCGCCTAGAGTTGTTCCATCAACAACAATACCTTCTGGTCCAACAGTGATAGTATCATCATCGATTGTTTCCGTTGTCACGGGGGTGCCAGTTCCATATATCAGGGTCGTAGAGTGAAAGACAAACACAGATTTTCCAACTGCAGTGACCATCTCACCACCTTCAATGATCACGTCTGTCTGAGGGCCACCAACCCCATGGTATGTGAGTGTTTCATCATCAACCACCACTCTACCAGGCGCAACGGACACTTGTCGTTCCTCCATAATAGTATTTGATCCGACGACAGGAACCTTAAGCCTTGTGGTCGTGCCCATAAGAGGAATTTTGAGCCTCGTGCCGCCCACAATAGCTTCCGTGCCTGAAACAGTAACAGATATCTTTCCAATAGTCGCACTCGTAGGGCTGACAACGGAAATCGCAGTACCGACAGGCTGCGGTTTCCTGACTGTTGCCCCTTCACCAACCACTTCTGTTGGGCGGATTGTGAATGTTCCATAATCGACAGTGACTGTTGTTGTTTGATCTGCTCTGAGACTGGAAAAGGTCCGGTCATTGACAATGACTTCTTGGCCTCTGGCAGTCACAAGAAACTTCCTAGGGGGCTCAGGTTCGGTGTCAGGCTGTGATTGGGGCTGCGGTCCTGATGTTGGCCTCGGTCCAGATTCTGCCGAAGGTCGCGGCTTCACGTCAGGTTGTGGACCCGACTGAGGACCCGACTGAGGACCCGACTTTCCGTGCCCCCCGGAAGAATTTGGGTGATTTGAGCCTGGCGCTTTGGAAGGCTGCGGCAGTTGTTTGTTACTCATAGGGAGACCTCCTCCACCAGTCGGTCGGTCGAAGTGCGGCGGCGGCTCTGTGGGGAATACCACCGCCGGGTTCTTGTCAGTCGTTATAAATGTCACAGTCATTCTTGAGCTTGACATAGTTAAACCTGGCACTCCAGGAACGGCTGTCGGATTCGACCAGCCAGGAGGCTTTTCTGAAGTACAAGATTTTCCCGGTAAGCAAGCTTGAGGGGGCTCCTTAGTTAATTCAGAGCCTGGCAGTGGGAATGTTCCAGACTCCTCGGAGCCATGAGATGAAACAATCTTTGAGAATGATGGGCTTGGAGCCCCTGGGTCGCAAATGTTGGGTGTACTGATAGTAGGGTAGGGTGGCGTGTAATCACTGCGGTTTCCAGAGAATGTTATTGTTGATGTATACACGATGGAATACTCGGTGAAAGGTTCGTTATCCTGCAATGTCGTGCACGGTAACACTGACGTTGGTGCTATCAGCGTCAATGTACCAGACGTCCATGGCCCAGGTGTGTATGTCCCATTTCCTTTCGAAGTAACTGAGGGAATCCATCCGCAGGGAGACCTGTAACCAGGGCCGCATGTCTGTGTCTTCAGTTTGGTATTGTTGGGCGCGGCTTGCGTAAAAGAATGTGCAAATCCCTGGTGTGGTCTCCTCTGAGCCGAAGCCTGGATATCGGGTTGATTAGTTACAGAGCTTGAATCTCTATCATGATCTGGCGGGCCGCCATTCGCCAGGGCAGTAGATTTAGGAGCAGTCTGGACGAAGTGTGAAGCTGAAGATTCCGAGAAAGATCGAAGATGAGTTTCTAGAGTAAATCGAGTGCTCTGAGATGAAGTGGCCACACGATTCAGTTGTGAAGTTATTGGCACTTTCCGAACAGAATCACCAGAACTTGTCTCTGCTGCTGTTGACAAGTAAACCTTTGTAGAAGTTGATTTGTCAGGAAGAGAGGACAATTCCTCTTCCACTTGTGTAATTGGCGTTGATGCTACCGATGACAAGCGAGTGGTACTGCCGTCTGGGGCAGTCGCGAAGGCCGTTTCATTCAGTGGAAAGCGCCGAGGGTTTGGCTGGTTAGGTTCGGATGGGGCTGATAGGCAGGGTAATATTTAGCCACGATTCTTCATCTCATCATCTTTCAAGGGAAATGCACAATAATCTAAACTGATGGGACAATTCGCGGGCTTACCTCGAGGTACAGCAACACCGACAATAGAAGGAACAAGCGTTGCGACTGAGAGCAGTCCAATAGCTTGCGCCCTCATATTGTCGATATAGAACAACACACAGGCAGCATAGACTGGCTGCTTCGTACTGCATCAACTGTTGCCCTGATCGTTTCGAGCTCCTTTCGTCTGTATCCAAGCTCACCAAACCAAATCGACTAGGACAGGCCTCTAAACGAGTGATTTGGGCCTTGCCTGATAAATTGGTCTCACATCGGCCACCTACCTATACCGATGGTTCTTCGCGCAACGACCACAACGGCTTTCGACGTTGTCGACAATAACTTGGGGGGAAATCAATCACAAGATCGGATGCATGACTGGGGAGGGGCTCAAAGGTTAATGAACCCGCCGCCAGCCTCTAACTTAGTTAGCAACTGGCTCTAGTGCATGGTGACAAGGGGTTACGTCGTCCAAGGCGTAAGCGCAAGCGAACGACACCATGTAAGTTCAGGTCAACTGGGGCTGCTAATTGACTCGACCCTATACTGGCCTCTCAGGGCCTTCCTTTCTTGTTTTGTTTCATCTCTGGATCTGACTTTTGTCCTCGCTCTCGTTAGTTGAATAGCTCCGGAGGTCTTTCTTTGGTGGTGGGAGACACAAACAGCCCTAGCCTTCCACACAGCTACACCCACCGCAAGCCCAGAATGCATGTGGCTGCTTCCTTCATCCTATGCGAAAACTACCTTGTTATTGCGTCCATCAACTCTGTTCAGCCTGGCCCAGAACATGACACTCCAGAACGGTCGATTCTCCTTGGCGGGTCATCACTTATAGAGGTTTCAGTTCATCTCTTGGACGTACAAAGATCCTAATAAAAGTCAAAAAATCGGACGAGCCAGCCATAATTTGCAGAAGTTAAACTCAGAGCGTTACCACCTCACAAGCCCGACCTTCCGGGAAGCATTCGGTGGGAACGGTGGGACAATCAAAGTTACGCAGGTCCAATATGATGTCTCAAGTTACATCCAGCTGAAATTCAAACAAATGATATCCATTCGGCCTTCCACATGGAGCTGAAAAAGAGACACTGGCACATGGAGCTGAAGAATATGGATCAGAAGCGAAAATCTCGGTATTTGCAATTTTCACATCCGACTGGCAACAACAACTTTCGGGTCCGGTTTTTAAAGATCTTCAGGCCATCGGAAATTGCCATTGTGAAATAAGCTCTGGTTCATTATGCGGATGCCCAGGCACCCTAAACAGTAGCTTAAAATTTCGTTCACATGTTATGCTGACCAAACCACATAGAAGGGGTAATTACTCGGTGTTACCAGTTGATTATCGAAGTTGAGATGGACCCGAGTATTGATTGATATCGTTGAACCTGCAGCCAGGGTCCTACTAGTCGTGCAACGCTTTCCAGCCACCGACTTGCCGGCGTCAGGGTTCTACGCCGAGTATGCTCGCCATGTCAGATGGATCGAGGCCCTTTGTTAACAGGGACAAGGATCGTTTCTAGAATCCCAAAAGCACTCCTCAAACGTGTCATGATAACACTTCATAATACAATCGAGCAGCGTAGAGCAAAACACAGCTATTCATAATGCAACAATATCGTGAAGCTCTACATTGGCACGCCCTGATGGCAATGCAACTTGGAAAAGACCGGAAGTTCCCCTCCGACCAGACAGTCGTTCTTCGTGGCTATGTATTCAAGATGGAAGAAGGGAACTCCTCGGGGTGATAAGGTTGTTCAACTCAGCCAATAACGAACAATTTACCCCTGCGACCTCTTCGGGATGGCCTAGTGAACGCCAAGGAACACTCCGCGCTCCGCACAATAGCTTTGGGGGCCAAGCCAAGCTAGAAATGGCCAAAACCATGTAACGCTACTCTGTGGCTTTCTTTTCAGTCCAAGGCCAATGGAAGGGGCACAAGGCCAGAACTCGTTAATCGTCAGTCGCCTCGCCCTGGCTACTCCAACAAACTCTCGGGTCCCATTGTCACCAAAGTCGCTGGTTCATGCTCTTACCTGGCTGTCAGCTTGAACGAATCTTTATTCCGTGCCAGCTTTGAGCAGTAGCGGCCATCACCAAGAAGGATCCGGCTCCCTGTCGCTCTGCTGCTGTTAGTGTTAACCGCACTGCAACCCTTGACTAGACACTGGGATCGTTGTTTGGTGTGAATCGCGACCTTGAATGTGCCGCCTTGCGGTCACCTCCACTCTATCGGCTCAAGAAATCTCATTTGATGTTTGCTTTGAACCTAGGATGACCTTTCTGGTGAAGGTCAAAAACGGCAGGTTTTCTCACATCTCTCTGCCAGACTCGAGATGCGGTCAGTCATCCTTGGATCGTGCTTCTTTCTCGTGCAACTCGCACAAGCCCGCGATCCTGCACCTGTTTTGTTGCCCTCTGGTGGTTGGTACGTTGCTCGGTCCTATTTTGGTTGCAATCGATATTAATACACAAGACAGGACTGGAAGCGATGGTAACTGGTCTACCATCTCATTTTCCCTGGGTTCAAACTCACAGGCCATTGAGGTTCTGGTGAGTACGGCTCTCTCTGAATTCTGGGCCATTGGACCAGGAGGATGTCTACCTAGTATGTTTTCCTCACTTGCTTGTTCGTTCTTCAGCTTTGCTTCTCAGCCCCAAGGAGTCATTCATACCATTTCTACTCAGGATCTGCCACTAACACTCTAACAGAGGAGCCTCACTGTATCGCCGCTCGCGGTGGCATCTATAATCCTCAAGAATCTAGCGATTGGAGCCCACTAGGCACATGGCAGTTAGGTTTAAGCTATCTTGGTTACGATGGGAATGGCAACTACGGGCGCGATGTTATCAGCACGCAAAGCCCTCTTAGTGATGATCCGTATACCATGGACGGCGTGCTCATAGCGACCATAAACACGACCAACTACTTGAACGGCCTCTTCGGTTTGGGGATCACACAGAGTAACTTTAATGGCACTGTGGCGGATTCACCATTGACCCAAGCAGTTGGAACGTATGGACTGATTCCAAGTTACAGCTTCGGATATACAGCTGGAGCATACTATAGTATGCTGCCCTCCATACATCCCCTGTTGTCAAGGTCGCTAACATAACTAGGAAATACACCTGTATCCTTGACTCTTGGAGGCGTCGAAACGCCAAGGTTTAAAAACCATGATAACGTCTTCACGCTCAGCCAGGAAGACAACCTGGAGCGCCCTATGGTCCGTGGCATCCAGATCGCATCCGCCGAAGGCCAAGATGTTCCTAGCACTTGGGAATCGCAACAACCTTTGCTCTCCCAATGGAACTCGTCTTTCTTCGCCATCATCGATAGCAGCACTCCCTACCTGTGGCTGCCAGACGAGGCTTGCGACCAGTTTGCCCAAGCTCTTAACTTGACGTATAACAGTACCTTCGAACTCTACACCATAAGTGACGATCAATACCGTGATTATACAAACGACGAGTCATTCGAACTTACCTTTGTGCTTTCAAGCTTTGACGATAACGATAACTTTGGCGACCCTTACGATGTACCGGGTATCGTCAATATTACCATACCTTTGAGAGCCTTTGTAGGCTTACTGCAATACCCTTTCATGCCTGATACGATTCAATATGGCGATGCAGCAATCCCCTACTTTATGCTACGAAAGGCAAAGAATAGCGGTTCCTATATACTCGGCCGTTCGTTTCTACAGGAGTCCTACCTTATAACCAAGTATGATGAGGGCGTCTTCTCGGTTCACCAAGCTCTTTTCCCAGACGAGCCATCGACAAACTCGGAACTGACTGCCATCGAACAGTCTGACAATAGTCCCTATCCCCCACCATACGCAGAGGATGAAAGCGGGCTTTCAGATGAGCAGGTAATCGGAATAGGAGTGGGTGTCGGGTTGGGTGTCTTCGTCGTCTGTGCAGCAATTTTGTTTGTGTGGTTGTACTTTCGACGCAAACGCAGGCGAGCAGCCCAAGGAAATAACCCGTCAGCAGAGGATCAGGACCTTACACCAAATAGCGGATCGCGATCACCCAAATCCCCTTTGGTCATGTTGTTTTCGAAAATTCTCGGACGAAACTCCTCGACTCAGCAAGCAGGAGATGGCACCAATGATAGAGAAAAGGTTGCTGAGGCTCCCGATACTCAAATCCACGAGATGTCAGCACCGCTTCCAGTAGCAGAACTCGATGGCGACGATGGCATTTCATGGAATGATGATACGGAGATGGGTACGGACAGCACACATAACATGACTGCCTATGAGATAGCCCGGAGAAAATTGGAGAAACAACTCCAGGGACCAGTCCCAACATATACTCCCCCTGCTGATGGGATGGAGATACCCGCAGAGAAAGCGATATACCAACCAGACCCAACAAATTGTCCGCCTGTGGCCCTACAACTATCGCCATCGGCATCTCTAAAAACAACACAACAAGGAGGTACGAATGCAAGCTCAATACCGCTGCCATCTCCACTGACTCCGGGCTTTGATGCGAATGGCCGCCCCATCGAGGCACCTTCTCCAACTACTATACCAGTATCGCCAACTACCGACATTATTTCATTACCAAACTCACCCCTTTCTCCGGCTTCGGACCACCATACAATTAATTCCATGGCAATGGGTGGAACTGATTCAGACCGTGAATCTCACTCTTCAATGAAACCATCGAACGAGGTACAACAGCGAGCAGTCCAACGGACACCCATTGATCCATCAAAGGTTGTATATCTTGGGGCACTACCAAACAACACGCGCTTCTCCCGCCACGCTGCTCCACAGATTGTCTCAGATGAAGACTATCAAGCCACTGATGAGTCCTCACATCGGCATGGCTCTGTTGATACTCTGGGGAGTAACTTCACTGTTGACGAGGAGAGACGAAGCGCAAAAGGATCATCAAGGCGTTTGGACTTAGGTACAAACGGCGCAAGTGTGAACGCTGTGATAGAAGACCCCCCACAAAATCCTTCAACAGACCAGCCTAATATTCCACGAAGTCGAGAGCGCATTAATCCTGGTGAAGATTTGGTTCATGTACCACAACTGGCTGAAAGACGGTATAGCTGGGAGTAACAAGCTGGTTGCCTGCCGTACGCCTTACTCTCATAATGATCAGGCTAGCATGAGATTCCTGGCTTTGTTGACGAGAAACGCGAAAGGAACGAGGTCTACGGTCTGGCTTGGCATCGGCCGTAGACAGCGCGATATCCAACTGATTTAAGTAATGCCACAGATTGCCAGAGCAATACCTGGCCCAGACTAATTATAACCCCAGTCCATTGAGGCTGTTTTAACGTTTCCTTTGTCAAACTTGCATGAGCGAGCGTTATGATTTGACTTGATGTGCCGGTCTCAATTACCGGAGAGAAGAACAGTTCTTATTCAGTTTATAATCAAACATGATGATATGCTTATTATGTGCTCCTGATACTGTCATGACTGTACGCTGTCCTGATGTCCAAAGTGTGTACTATGTTTTCTACTGAATTTTTTTTCACCAGATCTCCTGCCACCATGTCAACGCTGCCAGAATCTTCTTGCGCTCCTCCGTATCCTTTACGCCCTCCGAGAAGGGGTCAAACACTGCCTTCTTAGCCGCATCCGCCATCTTGGTCGAGCCACCACAGACGCAGAATATTCCATCGTCGAGGACTACCTCTTCAATTCTCTTGGCCTCCTCGCGTAGCCTGTCCTGAACATATATCTTATTTCGCTGATCACGCGAGAATGCTAGAAATACATGGAGATGCCCCTCACGTACGGCGTCGTCAAGCTCTTGCTGGAAGAAATAATCGGCCTCACGGTTGCGGTTCCCAAAGAAGAGATGCATCGGTCCTGGTGAGGGATGCGTAAGGCGCTCGTGAATAAGGGCGCGTATTGGGGCAAGGCCTGTGCCTGTGGCGATGGCAACTAAAGGCCGTCGGGCATTCTGTAGGCCATGAATGGGCGAGAGGACTGGCTTGCGTGTGACAGTAAGAGTAGATTCCAAGGGAATGTTATCGAGATAACGAGAGCAGAGGCCCTCGCGAGGTTTGCGAAGGACAGTTTTGTATTTGACTAAAGCGACAAGAAGCTCGATTCGAGTCTTGTCCTCGTCTTTCGGATGATTTTGATGCTCTCCACCGTTGGCAATGCTAAAGTCTCGTCCACGGATAATTGGGAAAATATCAAGGAGGCGCTCGGCAGGTAGTTTGACGGACGTGAACTCCTCCAAGACCTCGAGAATAGATCGTCTTGACCTAGTTGCGTAGTCGAAATATTCATCCAGGTACTCAGTCATTGTGAACTCGAGAAGCCGCTCCTTGTGGTCTGGATTGGTGGAGAAGTAAGACATGTTCTTGAGGAATGATCTCCGAGGGATTGCAGTGAAGTCGATGTTATTCAAAAGGAGCTCTCTCAATGTGCATTTAGGGTCTATATAAAGGTTCGTAGGAAGAGATTCGCATAATGAGAGGTCAAGGGTCTTGTCGGCCACCTCTTCCCAGCCCATGAGGGTGATGAGCTTCTGGACGTCTCGGGGGAAATTTTTCGGGTAGATGGTTAGGCAGTCTCCAGGAACGCAAGACAACTTGTCTCCATCACGACGTGGAATGTCAAATGAGATGAGACGGACATCTTGCCAGTGCTTCTCTGGTGTGAGTCTGTCGTTTCCAACCAAGGTTGCTTTCCAACCATTGGGGATAGGGAGGGGTGAAGAGGGCGGGAGGTTGGAAATTATCGGAGATGCGTGGCCGTTGCTTGTTGAATTTCCACTGAGAGAACCCTTCAGGGACCATTTAGCGGGAAGAATAACATCATCAGGGATAGGCTCAAGTCCAGTAGGGGGGGGATGGTGTTCAAGTAAGTGGTTGTAAAGTCGCTCTCCCCAACGCACAAAACTCCCGTCAATACTATCCACAATATTAGCTACTTCAACTAAAGATCAAGAACAATAAGAGCTGACCCGTCTGGAAACTGTTCGTCCGCCTCAAAGGGGTCAAAGAAAGTTGTAGCACCAAGCTGACCGAGACGCCTGTTGAGCTTGCGAGCTGCCCAATTAAACCTGTACTGCATAAGCTATCGGAAACAACATCAAACACCCTCAATGACTGACTTGACATAAGTACTATCTCCAAGTCCAAAAGTTGTATACTTGACTGAAGATAAGCAACCTGGTGGTAATTTCTTCCGAAGAAGCCTTTTCCAGAAGACCAGTGAGTTATGAGGCATATCTCCTTGGCCAGTGGTTGATATGACGAATAATACGAAGTCAGGCTGAAGAAGTGCATTCTAGTGTCGGAAGTCAGTAATAACCATCGATGAAGGAGCTATACGGCCTACTAAATCTACTGCGTCGAGTTCTTCAACACGACTTTCAAAATGCAGTCTTTGACATATTCGCCCCAACTCTTCTGCCATGTCCTGGGCATTACCCGTCTCGGACCCGTACAGGACGAGCACGCTCCTACCGTGAGCGGCCATAGTGACTGACCAAGAGATAAGGAATGTAGGTAATTATAAGTAAAGACTGAAGTTAGTACAGGTAATTAAGCCAGCGTCCGGTCTCGCAGGTTGAGGTTGTTTAGTGGGATGGTTTGCGTCAGAGTTAGCGCCGGTTAGCGGATGGCCGATGGCGGGGCGAGGAATCTTATCAATCTAGGAATTCATTGATTGATTGATTGATGGGAACGATTCCAAATGACACAGCGTTTGTTCACGATTATCGAGATTGGATGAACAACTTGTTACACACGGCGTGTGTTATTCAGGGCCATGTTCTACAGGATTTATCTATTGTTGTCTGTCTGTTCAGGGCCCAAGTAAACTATTCATGGTCAATTGCCAATGGCATTTGTTACACAAATTTTGATGGACTCGTTGTGTAGGTCAATTTATAACAAGCACAACAACTTGCATAGTGCTTCTTATGTCAACAATGTCGGGAATCTATATCCGCCTAGCCCAACGTCCGTCCCTATTGAAGTTTGACTGCAAACCGCAAACCACAGGGAACATTTTCTAAAACAGTTGTCATATTCAAACGCATGGACAACGGGCAAGTTCTAGAAGAAGAAGCTGTGGAGTAAGGAGCTGGCTTGGCTTTCGGGGACTTGAGAAACACAGTCCTAATCCTGGCTTGCAGGGCAGCATTGGATCCGAGCTGCCGGGCATGGAGGGATCCTGAGCATGGCGGGTGTGCACTATGAACATGGATGTAAGAATAGGATAGGTAGCTCACCTCTTCTCGTGTAATTATTGGTGGGAGCTGGTAATGATCGATGATGCCCTGGTCATTTGGCTCCCGCCATGCAAAAGGGGCTTGCAAAGGGGGTGGAATCGACCCGGTCAGGAGGCTCGCTCAGATGTGTGACTCGATAAGCTGTCAGGCTGTGAAATTATCCAGAGTATGCAATTTCCGCCATGCAGGCAACCAAGCAACTTCGTGAGCCTATACTATGATTATCAGGCAGTTCGAGGACCTTTATCCAGTTACCAAAGGGCGTTGGGGTTTAAAAAACAAGTAAACTTCCAGACTGCGGTGTTTGTATTATAGGAAAGGTCTGGATCGGCAGCATTATACCTACCTATGTTGGACTGTCAATGATAAAAGGCAGGTATGTAAATAGCAGGTTTCGTATTTCCGTACATAAAAGCATTTCAAAACTTATGAGAAAGATGATATTGCTAGCTATCGAGGCTTGGAATCGTCCAGATCTTAATATGTAGCCCAGAGTTTGGAGTACGGAAGACAATACGCCTGTTAACAACCCGATAAGTGCTACAGCTTTACCAATCTGCTGATTTATTTATTATGAACAATATTCTATTCTGTTTACACCAAGCTACCTATGCTAATTCGCTGATGTCGTACTTGCTCATAAACCTACGCCGCTGAGAGGCTAGTAGGCACCCCACTGTTCCTGACCGTGATATCGATTCAAGGATATCAACATGAGCGGTCAGCGCAAAGGAAAGAGATATTCTCTGAATACCTAGACTACAACTTGCATTCTTACCATTCTATCATTTTCCTGTTTCTACCTAAGCCAGGTGTTCTTTAGAAATCAAGGTCATTCATACTAAGGTATGGATCCGAGAAGCTTTCAACTCACTTGCGACTCAGCTCAAACAAAGCCAACCTTGATTCATATTGACTTTCCAGTCAAGATAGGTAGCCAACAGAGCATCACCGCACCACTTTAACTACACCGATACTGTACATAGAGTGACGCACATGATCCTTGGCCCGCAGCACCCACACGTCAGGCCCTAATATGAATATCCTGTACATTGTATTGGCACAATTTATGCATTGAGCAAGTAAAAATATCGGATGTGAACAATTCCTTCAAACGGGTGACCCTTTCCCTCTCACTGTCAATTGCTGCTAAGATCGTTCATCTTGAACATTCAAACAGCTACGTCTCTCATACCCAGGTAAGAGGGTTTGATACAGGCTCTGGAAACAATCCCCCCGGCCGAAAGCGGTCTCGAGGTGTCCAGGATCTGTAACCACTGAAGCGGGAAAGAACCCACAAAACTGAAGCTCTCCCCGAAGCTTTCAGGTATCAAATACCGCCATTCACAGTGGATGATACATGGACATCCAAACTTCAACGTGGAGTCGTAGCCGCCAACTGATCGTGGTTCTCGTACCTTCCTTCGTGACCTGTACTAAGCTTTCCTCCGCTCTTTACGCCTGCCGTCGTCCCCCTAGCCCTGACCACTTTCCACTTTCCACAACTCCTCACCTGCCACCCCTGACAACACCCCCCTTCCTCCTTCCCTCTGTGCCCCCAAACCGAGAGGCCAGAAAAATATTTCAGATTCCGCTACCAGTCGCCTTCACTTCCTCCCTTTCTCTTCTCCATCACAACATCAAACACCTGTGTCTCCGCGCAACGCACCGTCGTCTGTCTAATCTCAACCTCGTTTCTAGGGCACGAAGCTACCCTGATCAAACTCCTCCTTATTGCACCAGAGTTCAACCTGTTCAACTCGCAGCAATCGTTTTCGAACGCTCCTCCACCACAGGTCCAAGTTCGAACGTCATAATCAATCTAACCACCAACCTCATCCACCTACCGCCATCATGTCTGCCGCCAACCCTACCACCACCAACAACAACATGGATGCTGCCGTTAATGACGTCGCAAACACTCTGAGCAATACCTCACTCAACAACAAGCCTGCCGATGACAAGACGGCCGCCAACGAGGCCGCCTCGGCCAGCGCTGCTGAGGGCCGTCGCCTCTACATTGGCAACCTGGCCTATGCGACAACTGAGGGGGAGTTGAAGGACTTCTTCAAGAGCTATCTTGTGTAAGTTCTATCTTCTCTTCTTCTTCATCTCCCTACCCGGCTTCTTTTATCTTTATACCGCCTTCCGTGTTGCATGCGATGAGCGACTAGCTGGAGACACGTGTCTTCGCCATCGCGATGGGCGCCTTCCCTAGCCATCATGACGACAAATGATGGCAAGCACACGTGAAGCTCTTTCCCAATCAACAAGTCTTAGAATGGAAACGGGTAGCTACTGTCCTTGCCTACCGTGGCTCGGAATCGTAGCTGCCTCATTGATTCCACTTCTTCGTCATCAAAGCCGTCACCCCATCACCCCATCATGGATATACGTTTAGAAATACTAACGTTCTCGCCACTAGTGAGTCTGTCTCGATTCCTAAGAACCCCCGCACCGACCGCCCTGTCGGCTACGCCTTTGTCGACCTCTCCACTCCCACTGAGGCTGAGCGTGCCATCGAGGAGCTCTCCGGCAAGGAGATCCTTGAGCGCAAGGTTTCCGTTCAACTCGCTCGCAAGCCTGAGCCTGCTGGCGAGAAGTCAGAGGGAGCTAACGGTGAGGGTTCTGGTGCAGAGGGCTCCCGTCGCCGAGCTTCGGGACGTGGCCGCGGTCGTGGCCGTGGTCGTGGAGGCCGCACTGCCCGCGCTGGCCGTGTGAGTCATTCTTCAGTTCTGGGACCCACGAGTATGGTACTGACTATGTCACAGGAGGGTGCTGAGAAGAAGGAGGGAGAGACTACTGAGGCTGTTGCCCCTACTGAAGATGCTGCCCCCGCAGCTGCGGCTCCTGCTACCGCTGAGGTTTTACCATTGACCGACATCACAAACAAGATCAACACTGACGCGAACACCAAGACTAAGACTCAAGCTCGCCCCCAGCGTGAGCGCCGTGAGCGGGGCCCTCCTGCTGATGGAATTCCTTCCAAGACCAAGGTCATGGTTGCCAACCTGCCTTACGACCTGACTGAGGATAAGGTGAGAACAACTGACTTATCTCGTTCTTGATGCAGTTTTCTGACACTATAACAGCTTATTGAGCTTTTCAAGGCCTATGAGCCTTCTTCCGCCAAGATTGCTCTCCGACCCATCCCCCGATTCATGATCAAGAAGCTTCAGGCTCGTGGCGAGGCTCGCAAGGGCCGTGGCTTTGGCTTTGTTACTCTGGCTTCTGAGGAACTCCAGCAGAAGGCTGTCAGCGAGATGAACGGAAAGGAAATTGAGGGCCGTGAGATCGCCGTCAAGGTTGCTATTGACAGCCCTGACAAGACCGACGAGGAACAGCACGAGGGTGATGCTACCAACGGCCAGAAGGAGGCGGCCCCTGCTACTGGTGCTGAGGCTGCCTCTACTCCTGCTGCTGCTGCCCCAGCTCCCGCTGCCACCAAGACTGAGGCTACCCCCGCCTCTACCACACCTGCCACTACTGCTTAAGTTATGGCTTGGCACGAATTTCACGGGCATGAACTAGGTATGCCACGATGATAACACTTACGATTTGGTACGCGATTTTCACGAATTTCTCTTACGGTAGATTCTCGCTACAACGATGAAAAGAAAGAATGAGGTATTCGACCTTGCCGGGATCTTGGGGACGTAAGCAAGAGCGAATCGAGCTTTCAATGAATCTCGGGTGGTGTTTACTTATCAGCCTTTATCACTTTTCTCATCAAACACTTAATATTTCCATGATCGGGACATAAAAAAGCTCACAGGCCCTCTGTTATTTTGTATTTGTATCACTTTTTCTCCGTCACCCTTCTGCGGGTTGTACACTAGTTTACACCAGAGGCGGCAGGGGGGAGAAAAGCTTAGCGGTATTATAAAGGGCGTTTTGATGAAGCTGAACGGGCCTACGTGATTTTCCTTCTAGTCGCTTGAACGTGCAAAGCCTTATTCCAATGGTGAACGTATGTATCCGCGAATTCGCGGATGCCTTTTGCTCGACATCATGGGGACGGGACAAGTTGATAGTAGAGTTTACATTATCCTTGAGGATTGTGGGGTGCAAGGGAAGAGGCGTCATCGCTCTGGATTATAGGAATAACGGGATATGTCAAGTAACCTAATAGAACATATAGACTGACGCTGGATAATACAGTATAGCTCACGTGGCTAATAAGGATTCCATTTAATGATGTCTTGATAGAGTGTGTATCAAATGTATAAGGTTAGGTAGGTATGGATAAAAGTGCCCCGCCAACCTACCTTAGCCCCTTAAATGGCCGGAAGCAGTTGGGGCACCTCAGGGCAACGAGCGGGAGGAGCTGGCCCCGGGCTTGCTCCAGTGCATCAAGCAACTAGTCTTGGGCGCTGAGTGGTGTAATTGTAAAGGCAAGGTACCCTATGGCACTAGCGCCGTCAGATGTCTCCCTTTGTTTCTGTTTCCATTTACGGGGTGTTTCCAACTCATCATAAAGATTGATTGCACGTACTAAGTTATATCGTGCCCAACAAACACAGGAGCTCCAACATCCAATATAATCGACGCTCCAATATCCCACAGCAGCGCTGAACCTCTCAAGATGGCATCCAAGGGCATGTGGGAGGTCGATCCCGAGACTCGGTCCAAGGTTCGTCCACCACCATTCATCCCCTTTCCTACTCATCTAATCTCTCCCCTTCCTCTCTGCGCTTTACGCTGCAGTCACACATGCTGACGCCGATGCTGTCGATAGCTGGCCACCCTCCAGAAGGAATCCAAGAACAATATCTGCTGCGATTGCAATGCGCCCTCTCCCCAGTGGGCGTCTCCCAAGTTTGGCATCTTCATCTGCCTCTCGTGCGCTGGTGTGCACCGAGGCCTTGGAGTCCATATTTCTTTCGTCAGAAGTATTTCAATGGACGCCTTCAAGTCAAGCGAAATCGAACGAATGCGACTGGGTGGCAACGAGGGGTGGAGGAACTTCTTTGAAGAGCATGAGCAGACTAAGATGATGGGCATCACATGGGAAGACTCGACTATTGCAGAGCGATACAGTGGTGAGGTCGGTGAGGAGTGGAAAGAGAGACTGAGCTGCAAGGTTGAGGGCCGCGAATATGTCCCTGGGGCGAAGAAGCCTGTGTCTGCGCCCACGAAACCCGCGTCGCGAACAGGAACACCCATGAGTGGTAGCTCGCGCCGCAATGAGAGTCCTGCAGCGGCGTCAGGAGGTGGAGGCGGAGGCAAGGTCAAGGTGGATGATCAGTACTTCTCAAGGCTTGGAGCCGATAACGCTGCACGGCCAGACCATCTGCCACCTAGCCAGGGAGGAAAATATGCCGGATTTGGAAGTACTCCTGCGCCCAATTCTTCGGACAACGACCTCAACTTTGGTGAGATACAGAAGGATGCTGTCGCGACTCTCACCAGGGGGTTCGGCTGGTTCACATCAACGGTCTCAAAGACCGCCAAGACTGTTAATGATGGCTACATTCAGCCCACTGCTAAGCAGGTATGCCACTTCTTCCAGGCGATTATGCCTACCTTATCTCGGAGTCTTATCTAACACATCATAGTTTGCTGAAGGCGACTTTGCTAAGCAAGCTCAACTGACCGCTTCCGCCTTCGCAAAGCAGGCTCAAGCAGCGGGCAAGAATGCACAGGAGGGTTTCACCAGATTCGTGGAAGGTCCTGAGAACCAGAAAAGTCGAGAAGCCCCCCTGGATGAGAGCAAGAAAAGTTTTTGGGATGAGTTCTCAAACTTGGCCGATCAAAGACAACCCGCCAACAACTCAATCGGCACAAGTGCTATGGGAATGGGCAAGAAGAGCACGGCGGCTCCTCCACCAAAGAAGCAGGACGATGCATGGGACGATTGGTGAGCGACAGTGTAGTCGTAGCCTTGGTCCGTTTCGAAGGATGATTTGTTGGCAATCTAACGTACCTAGTTGGAGCATTGGAGTATAGGCGTGCCTGTTAAATGAACCAGTCTCTTTACAAAAGTCTCGACTTCTCTCAGATCACTTGAGGTCCAAAATCAATTACCAGTAAACTTGCTGCTTCCAATGCCGAAGGACCCGAGTAGTCACCCATAACAACAAAGTCTTGAGTCCTAATTCGTCTGTGAGCTATGAAAGCAATGCTGTGCCCACACTCGGGCTCTGTCCTGTGCTCCCCCTTTCTGTCTATGCCTCTATCTACATATACTAAAGGCGCACAGTCAGATAATTAGCACAGGAACACTGGTTTCGAATACAGCACAATATCGTGCGTCATACACTACGCCCAAAAACACACAAGAACCTTAATACGAAGCCTCAGTTTATCACACAGTTACTGCCCCGAACCTTGAGATACAACTAAACAAGTGGTATCGATCCACAAGCATAAAGAGTGTGTTTCCCATACAAAACTCAGCTACTTGGCCTTCTGGATGCCATTTACCAGCATCCCTCCACTACCAGCAACTATGGTACCCAATCCATCAACCCTCCTCTGGGGTGGTCGCTTTACAGGTCGGTAGAGCTCTGTCTACTGTTACGACGTATGCTGACCGCGTCGCCATGTAGAGAACATGAACGACCTCATGGTTACGTTCAACGAGTCGCTCCCCTTCGACAAGGCGTTGCACGAGGCCGATGTCAGGGGCTCCATCACCTTTGCAAAGGCACTGCGACAGCTCGACCTGCTCACTGACAAGGAACTGAGCGAGATCACCAGGGGCCTCGAGGCTGTCGAGAAGGAGTGGGCTGACGGAAAATTTGTCATCCATCCTGCTGTTGACGAGGACATCCACACGGCCAACGAGCGTCGCTTAGCTGAGCTCATTGGCCCAGCCATCGCTGGCAAGCTTCATACAGGCCGCTCCCGCAACGAGCAGATTGCTACCGACCTGCGAATTTGGGTGCGAACGGAGCTTGATGACCTGTCCGAACAACTGCGCACCACCTTGGCTGTTTGCGCTGCCCGCGCCAAGACAGAGATCGATGTACTGATGCCCGGCTACACACACTTCCAACGTGCCCAGCCCGTTCGCTTTTCCCACTGGTTACTCTCACACGCCACCTACCTTATGGGTGACCTACAACGACTTGACGGCGTCCGTGAGCGTACCAACTGTTGTCCCCTCGGCGTTGGCGCCCTGTCGGGAAACCCCTTTGGCATCGACCGTACTTTTCTCAAAGAGGATCTAGGCTTCTCCTCTGTCCACCCTAATAGCCTGGCGGCGGTTGGGGATCGTGACTTCGTCGCTGAGATTCTGCAGTGGTCGAGTCTGCTGATGGTGCACCTTAGCCGCCTGAGCGAAGACTTGATTATCTATTCAACAGCCGAGTTTAATTTCGTTCGGGTTGCCGATGCTTATAGCACCGGCAGTAGTTTGATGCCCCAGAAAAAGAATCCCGATAGCCTCGAGACGATTCGAGGAAAGGCTGGCAGGGTTATGGGCCAGGTTCGTCTCTTGTCAGCCCCCGGTTAAGACATGAAGGGGCCTTGCTGTGCCCTGAGCTGACTAACTCTTGATAGGCGTCAGGTTTTCTTTCCACCCTCAAGAGCCTGCCGACAGCGTATAACAAGGACATCCAGGAGTCAGTGGAGCCCCTCTTTGACTGCGTCAAGACGGTTTCTCAATGCCTGCGAATCGCTGCTGGCGTCTTGAGCACGCTGCAGATCAACTCGGAGAAGATGAAGGCAGCCCCAACAGCCGACATGCTCGCCACTGATGTCGCCGACTATCTAGTTGTGAAAGGCGTGCCCTTTCGGCAGACGCACCACATCGCCGGCGCCGTTGTGCGCAAAGCAGAGGAGAAAGGTGTTTCCATCGCCGAACTAGAGCTTCCCGACCTTGGGAAGATCTCGCCTCAGTTCGAGGCTGATATTGTTGACGTCTTCGACTTCGAGAGGAGCGTTGAGAGGAGGACTGCCCAGGGGGGACGAGCCGGAGCTCAGTACTGAACCAAATCTCCGCTATCGAGGCCTATCTTACTGGCAATTAAACCAGAAGGCCAACCAAAAATAAGTCGTCTTTAGATAATCGAGTTGCTTTGTCTTTTGTGTGTGGCGCAAGGTACAAATAGATAGCACGTCCCTCGCTACCTACTCAGCAACGAGATATGCTAGAGCTAGAGGCTCGTTGGGACAATGGGGTATGGCCACAGGATCAGCACCTATCTTTAAATCTACCCAATCGTTAATATAATGACCCCTTGTAGTTGGCTCTAATCCAATGCAACCACTGACGTGCTCTGTGCGGGCTGCCTGTTCTCTCTTTCACGGGGCGGCCCGAGCCTTGTTGGTAGCTTAATGCAAGAGATCCGCTCCCAAAGGACAAAATATCAAGTCATGCATGAATAGGTACCTCAAATAAGATCTTTTTTTCAATGTCCAACATTTTATTGCATCTCCCTTGGTACCACTGAGCAACATATACAAGAGCCAGTTTTCCTCGTGGGCATCGCCAAGAACCACACCTGACAATTCCACGCTTCGGAACTTGTTTTGCGGCATGCCTGAGCAGTCCTGACTTTATCCTGAACAGAGATGATCAGGAACGTGGTCAAGGCCTGGTCAAGGCATAAGACTTCCAGGCCATCGAGGATGTCCAAGTTGTTCTTGTCAGTAGCAGCAAAGCTGGATATATTAGCGATAACCTATCGGTTGTTCTTGATAAGTATAGGGCAGGCTTCTTATTGTCTAGGAAAATCTACCAAGATCAATGAAAGAGGTTATAGCTGATAGTGGAAAAGATCACCTGTTGAACGTGCTCCCAACAGACACGTCTGGGCTTGTTATCTCCTGACGAAAGATCAGCTTGTCTGTCCCAGCTTCCCAAACAACAAAAGAGAGTTCGGTTTCTGGCAGACAAGCGAAACTGATTACTTCAACCGAAATCTGAATATGGCGGAGATGATGGACATGATGACTATGGTAGCAGCCCCCCTTGGCTCTCCCACCAACGAAGGTATTGAGGATATCAAAACTCTGAGGTCTTCCGATCGCCTGACGGAACCATCCCTGGAAACAGCCATTTTGACATCGCCTTGGCTAGAAGTAGCGTCAAAAGGGTAGTCGGGGAAGATGGGAAGTAAGATAATGACCCTGTGTTAGAGTGGCTGAGAAGCGTTACCTGATACCGAGCCTTGCGTGGTGTGGTGCAATTTCTCCTAAAACAGAGTCAAACTGAGTGCCAGGTAGACTATGAAGGAATGTTGCTTTGCGCTTCAGTTGTGGGAAGCAATGCCTTTGAACTGTTACTTTTCCAAGAATGAGCTAGGTTCTCGAGAGAACCCACTAGGTATTAATAAACGCAGAGTCGCCTTCTCTTGTCTTGAGATGTCTACAATCATTTACTCAGGTAGGTAGGACATCCTTCCCATGTTCGTCACTCAGCCCAGATCGCAATCACATAGCATTACTGCTACTGGGTGTACTACATCTGTAAAGCACGTCAGGCCAAGGACCTTGCAGTTAAATCGTTGTGCGTCTCTAGCACGAACCCCAGTATGGACGCTCTGAACCACTAGAATCCTTGCGTACCAGTGCCGCATATGTGCCTGCATCATCATAGGAACAAGTGATTTTGCTGCGTAGGGTTGTACTGGTGGTAGACCACCGTACCCTTAGTTATATGGCCGGGCTCGGCATTTGCGTATAAGTTGCCGGTGGTTTAACACCGCCAATGGCCGATTTCCTCAACACCTCCCTCCCCATGTATACACTTCTCAGTTCAATTTGGCAGAGTTTTGTCTGGAATTTATAGGCGGATAATGATATGATAGAAGAGAAAGACACGATGCCATGAATACGCGCCGCAAACCTTTTAACAGGAATAACATCAACAACACGGGAATGAATCCCGACATCGCTCGTTCATCCGGCGGATCTGTCACGTGGGCCGTCGGCCGAGGTTGGAGCTGAGACCGGCCCTAGCCGGTACCGCGCCGAGCTTTGCCATGACGACTTGGCCGGCCCTTGTGAACGTCTCGCCGCTCTCGACAACTTCAATTTCGCATTGAACAACACCCATACAACATGTCAGCACTACGGATCCTCGTGCCTGTCAAACGGGTCATCGACTATGCTGTAAAGGAGCCGGATCGACTTTTGAGAAGCAACGGAACGCTGACAATATTTACAGGTCAAGCCTCGAGTTAACAAGGCCCAAACGGCCGTCGAGACAGCTGGTGTCAAGCACTCAATGAACCCGTTCGATGAGCTATCCGTTGAAGAGTCAGTGCGTATTCGAGAGAAGAAGCGTTCGCCCGGTGGTGTCGAGGATATCTGTGTTATCTCTGCTGGTCCTCCCAAGGCGCAAGACGTGCTTCGAACAGCCATGGCCATGGGCGCAGACCGAGGAATCCACGTCGAGCTCAAGGATGGAGATGAGCTAGAGCCTCTGACAGTAGCAAAGATCCTCCAGAAGGCCGTGGAACAGCAGAAGAGCAACCTAGTGATTCTGGGCAAGCAGAGCATCGATGACGATGCGGCACAGACCGGCCAAATGCTTGCAGGTCTCCTGGGGTGGCCTCAGGCTACACAGGCTAGCAAGATCGAGTTCGGTGCTGGTGATAAAGTCACTGTGACAAAGGAGGTTGACGGTGGTGTCGAGACAGTGAGCGCCAAGTTGCCTATGGTCATCACGACAGACCTGCGACTCAACGAGCCCCGCTATGCCAGCTTGCCTAATATCATGAAGGCCAAGAAGAAAAAGTTGGAGAAGACAAAGCTTGAGGATTTTGGAGTGGATGGTGTGAAGCGCCTTAAGACACTCAAGGTCATTGGTAAGTTATCACTCTCTCACACTAAATTGCCCGTCGTGCCTTTGCTAACATCCCCCAGAACCCCCAGCTCGCCAGGGAGGTGGTAAGGTTGAGGATGTTGGTGGTTTGGTTAGTAAGCTGAAGGAGCTTGGTGCATTGTAAATGAGAAACAAATAGTGAACATGATAAAGCCGAAGGCCATTAGAATTGACTAACCCTGGATGGAGTATTCTTGCTATCATTCAGTGTAGAATGAAAATTACAAAAGGCGAATCTGCATGCTGTTCTCCAATTTGCTGGAAGCTCCCATTACTACGCTTGCGACCCGAAATAGAGCTGGAATAACTGTCTTTTAATATACATATATATATTTGATTTTCTCACATAAATAACGCCTAATGCTTATCGCCTATTCAAGGAGAGGATGGGAAACCATGCGCTTCTCGAAAAAGCTAATGGTATATGCCATTGAAAAGGGAAGGCACAATAAGCAACTTCAGACATGATAGACATGAATCACTGTCAATGGATTCATGGGATTGATGTTAGAAGTAACATCGCGTTAGGGAGCTGATGCTAGGTATCTCGCTTACTTAAAACCTTTTGTTTAGTAAGTAATGAGTGTGGATGTCAAGGGGAAGAAAGAAATCTCAGGACCTTGATCCTACATGATAAAAAGATTTAGGTAACTTAGCACAGGTTTAAGATACGTCTAGTATAGACTTGGAATACCCTTTGCTGAGTTGTATTGAGGTCTGATATTTTCTTGCCTCCTGAGGGATGTGAGATACCCTTAAACTAGAGTATTGGAAGAGTAAGAAAGTGACGTCGACAAAAAAGTAAAAATCGTAACCTCACTCCAAGGAGCGAGGTTTCGAGCTCGAGGGGTGTTCAACCCAACGTATTTCCCGTTGTTCCAAGGTGTTCCACTTGAAGGCGCCGGGGTGCCATAGAATAATTTGAACGCAACTTGCACTTATAAGACTGGTCTGTGTGGATGTCACACAGGGAGCCTCAGATGTGCCAGGGCTCTATCTTCATAAACAAGCATGCACGTGAGCAGTTTTCTGTCACGTACATGACTTCCTGTAAGTAAGTTGAGGCTCAAAAGACTCTACTATAAAGCATCCATCATCATATTGTTACACCAAGACCAAGACTTGTAAGGTTGTCTCATGATTGGATCCCGACTGCCGAACGCCAGGTGCCTGGCAGGGCCATCGAGAGCTCCACAGTCTCTTATCAGAGCGATCGACAATGCTACGCTAGAAATACATACTTCTAAGTTCTAGCTTGGCTTCCATGCTTTGACCGCCAGCAGAGGAAAAAACTCAACAAGGGCAATTCCTATGACGTCTCAACATTCCCGGAGTTTGTCTGGGGACGGTGGATCTTGTATGGTTTCATTGACAAGATAAAGGGCATGGCCGTGCTGGAGCGCTTGACTCAGTCGACATGTCTAGGTAAGGTACGTTGGGTGAATATGGCATTGAGTGCAAGAGTGGTGAGTTGCAGCATTTGAGACACGATATTCAATGCTCACGACTTGCCTTCTTCTTGCGATATCGACATGTGGTATGAAGAAAACATAGGCTCATTGATCGGCGCAGGTTGTGTTGATTGTGACGTGTAATTGGTGTTGGTCAAGGACTCACACAGCGACAAGAGTCAAAAACGATATCGGAGGTTGAGAGATGTTGTCAAAGGGTTCAGTTCCTGGCAGCGGGGCTCTAATAGCGCCAATAGGCGGAGCGCTCAGCCCGCCCACCACTGTTTTCTCGGCGGAAGAGCGGGCTTCTGGTTCCGCCTGGAGGAAATTTGCAGCCAGGAACCCACTCAGCTCGAAAAAACTTGCCAATGACCAAGGCCGTGTTGTCAGGTTTCCCTATCGGGGCGGCACCTGCGGAGCGGGATCGCACCTATCGTCCATCCTATCCTCACTAGAGGTACCTATCCTATCTTTTCTTCCCAGCTCCCACCCTCTTGACTCTTTTCTTCTTTTTCTTCTCCTCCAACAGAAAGAAATCCTCGCGACAAAACCACACAATCTTGACATTCGGACCCTAACTCAACGTTCCGGCAACACGATTGCATCTTTTCTTATAACTTTGAACTGAGCTCGTCTCTTTAATCCGCCCACATGCACGGGCGCCCATCCGTCTTCACCTCGCAGGTACGTTCACACCTTTTTTCCCTCTTATTACGTCGCCTGTGACATATACTCGCTGTATCAACCCCGCCATCACCCAACACATTTTTATCTATGGCTTTGCAACGTTCGCTGTAGGAGCTATAGATGGATGGATGCTGTCCCCTGATGGCTCTGCTCCTCTCATCATCACCAAGACTTCCATATACTCCAATTGGCACAATGCTAACCCAATTCATAGGATTATCTCTCTGGTTCGTACTCTTCACTGTTCTTGACTCACCGCTCGAAACCTTGAGTTGATTGGCCAAACATGGAAACTAACCTATCTACCATTGCAGACCACCTCTGGAAGTCCCAGTCTTGCTAAAGAACTTTCTTGCTCAACCGACTATTCTCCTTTTAAACACAACTTAAATAACCGACATATATCAAAATGTTCTCCCGACTGGCTTCCTTTGCCAAACCCGCGGCCAAGTCCGCGTCGGCTTCTGGCCGAACCATGCTTCAGGTCCGATACCTGTCTGAGAAAGCTGTTGCTGGTAGCAAGGGCAGGACTATGCCGTTCTCTGCTGCTCGAGCTACTGCTCCTGCTGCTTCTATCCCCGCCACTCTCACCATTCGAGTATGTACCCTGCAATGGCATCTTTCTTACCTGTCGAAACAATCTAATATGCCTATAGGACGGTCCTGTTTTCCAAGGCAAGGCTTTCGGCGCCAATGCCAACATCTCTGGTGAGGCCGTCTTCACCACCTCTCTTGTTGGTTACCCCGAGTCCATGACCGACCCCTCCTACCGAGGCCAGATCCTCGTCTTCACTCAGCCCCTGATTGGCAACTACGGCGTTCCCTCCGCCGTCCGAGACGAGTATAACCTTCTCAAGTACTTCGAGTCCCCCCACGTTCAGTGTGCTGGTATTGTTGTTTCCGATGTAGCTGTCAACTACAGCCATTGGACTGCCGTCGAGAGTCTTGGCGAGTGGTGTGCCCGAGAGGGAGTTCCCGCCATCTCTGGCGTTGATACCCGCGCTATTGTCACTCACCTCCGAGAGCAGGGCTCCTCCCTGGCTAGGATCTCCATTGGAGAAGAGTACGATGCCGACGAGGATGAGGGTTTCGTTGATCCCGGCCAGATCAACCTGGTCAAGCGTGTCACCACCAAGGCTCCTTTCGTTGTTGAGTCCCCCGGTGCTTCTCTCCACGTTGCTCTGATTGACTGCGGTGTCAAGGAAAATATCCTTCGTAGCCTGGTCAGCCGAGGTGCTTCCGTCACAGTCTTCCCCTATGATTACCCCATCCACAAGGTCTCACAGCACTTCGATGGTGTCTTCATCTCCAACGGTCCCGGTGACCCTACCCATTGCCAGGCTACTGTCCACAACCTCGCCCGCCTGATGGAAACCTCCAACATACCTATCATGGGTATTTGTCTCGGACACCAGCTTCTGGCTCTTGCTGTTGGCGCTCGCACCATCAAGCTCAAGTATGGTAACCGAGCTCACAACATTCCCGCTCTCGACTTGACCACTGGCTTGTGCCACATCACCAGCCAGAACCACGGATACGCCATCGATGCGAGCACCCTTCCCAGTGACTTCAAGGAGTACTTCGTCAACCTCAACGACGGATCCAACGAGGGTATGCTCCACAAGACCCGCCCCATCTTCTCGACCCAGTTCCACCCTGAGGCCAAGGGTGGCCCTATGGACAGCTCTTACCTCTTCGACAAGTACCTCCAGAATGTCCAGCTTGCCAAGAGCAACCAGGTGGTTTTCAAGGATAACCGACCTACCCCTCTGATGCTCGATATCATGAGTCGAGAGCGCGTCGGTGTTGAGCCTACTCCTCTTGCCGCTACTGCTTGAATGACTAGTGTGAGATGATTTTGGCGTCTGGGATAGGTCGTTGGTAACGTCTGTTAGTTTCTCGGGAGCAAGGATAATGGCTGCTATTTTAATGTTATATTCAGGAACATTGGTCTTAGAAGAAAGATTGTGATACCACTACTGCACATCAAGCCATCATGTCAGATGTCTGGCGGAATGTTTTGAAGTGAATGACCCCAAGCAAATGCTGCATCCAGCCTACATACAGTATCTCATTAAGTGAAGCCAACGCTCTTACTCAAAATGTGAATCAGTTTAAACCAGTCTGCAGACTTGAAACGATGATTATAAATAAAGTTACTCAATTCACTGATGTCTTAACACCTGTTGTTTATTTCCTTGCCCTTTTACTATCTCAACGCCGTCCTCCATACGATGCAGCTCCTGATACCATGTGCACAGTGCAAACATATTAATCTTAATTTCCTGTCTTTTCTTCGCACGGCATAGCAAATCATGCACATCTCGCCCTCAGTCCCTCATTCGAATGTCGCCATCATCAGACAAGGAGCCACGACGAGGTCGGTGGTCGTCCCGTGGCGGGGGGAGATACCGATCACTACGTGGTCGACCGCCGCCACCGCCGCCGCGTCCACGGCGTCTCCCACCGCGGCGCTCACGGCCCATGGCTCGCTCACGGTGTGGAGGTCGGATGCCTTCAAAGACCTCCTTGCCCCGGTCAACGAATGAAGTACCGTTCTCAAATGAGTAGCGATTAATCTCGCGGCCGACATCGCGGTTGCGATCATTTGTGTAATAAGAGCGCATGTTGTCGATGCGGCGACGCGCAAGATCTTCTGATACAGGTTGGTAGTCGATGACTGGGCGAGTGTTGGTGCGCTTGAATGCACCGCCTGGGTTGATAGGTGGGGGTCTTGGCCCAGGTCCAGTACCGGGACGAACAGGGCGTGGCCCAGTAGGAATGGGAGGGTCTCGGAGTGCTCTGGGTCCAAGAGGGATAGAATTAGTCGCCATCGTCGAGCTCGGGGGTGGTCTTGCGTTCAGCTGAGGCATCGTGCGAGATGTTGATGCTGATGCTTCCTCGAGATGTGCTTCAACTTCGCCGTTAGGACCATCCTCATAAACGACTTCCCATCGAGCACCAGAGCGCCCGCGGGGGCCACCGCTGGCTTGTTCTGTATCAATCCAGTCTCTGACATTCTCAGGAGGGACAAAGTCGACCCAGAGCGCTTTGCGATTGCTCTCATTAGGCCACACACTGCCATGAAGTGCAGTGCGAACGCGGGAAGCAGCAGCGGTGTTTTTGAAGACAACAAAACCATGTGTACGGATCTGGTCCAGAAAGAATTCAGTCACAATCCCGTCATCATCGTCCGCTGCGTCTTGAGAACGTCTCGCAAGCGCGACGAGATGGGCTTTGACATCTTGAGGTCGGAGAGGGCGCATGAAGTTCTTGACGTAAAGTGCAGAAGTGGCCGGATGCACCGCCGGCGCAACATCCCGCTCGTAGTCCATATCCTGCGTTTTACCTTTGTCTTCACCAGTTTCTTCTTGTCTAGGTACCTCGTTCTCTGGTGCAGCTTCCTGTGGATGTTCTTGTTGAGGCTCCTCTGCTTGGGGCTCACTGTCCAAGTCCATAGGAGCAGGTTTGTTTTGGGGTTCGGGCAGCAGATCTTCCTGTCGCGCACCTAAACTATCGCCGTTTGCTGAATTCTCTTCCGTGCGGGCGCGTTTGCGAGCAATCGATTCTTCGATTGGTGGGGGTGTGAGAGAGCGGCGTTTGCGTTTTTGCTGCTCAGCAGCAGGGGTTGGTTCGAGTGAGTGGGAGGGTGTAGATTCGACAGTGGTTGTCACTGTTCCCGCTCTTGATTTCTCGTCCAACGTTGGTTCCCTAGATTGAGCATCCATTTCATTCCCAGGAATTGGCACGTCAGCGACCAGATCGCCATCGCGCGCCGCTTCCTCTATTGCTTCATTCTTGACATCTTCCTCCTTTCCGGTTTCAGGGACCCCTTTATCAGTCTCCCGATCAGCATTAGGCGCGGTGTCATCATCCAAATGTTTCTCTTCTAGCTCCATTATTTCTGCCGTTTGATTCCCTTCTTCCGGTTCGTGCTGCTCGGCCGCTTCCTGGGGCTCGTTGTCTGCAGGGGGTGGTTGCTGAGCTTGTGGCTCATCATTTCCAGACTTGCTATCTGTAGGCGCATCTTCAAGCTGTTCTTGGGCCTCCGTATTCTCAGTTTCTTGATCAGCTTCGTCTAGTCGCGCGACAAGCTCTGTTTTGAGACCGTGCTGTGGTAGACCGCGACTTTTGAGCTCGGCCTTGAGGTCGACGACTTTGAGCTTGGCCCAGTCAGTCATGATGAAAGCAATTGGCGGCGCGTGAACGGCTGACGTGTTTGAACTCGAGTCTCATGTGCTCTCCTTTTGCGTTAAAATGAATGATTATCCTGGACAAAATCTGAATCTGAAGGACGAGAGTAGGTAACGAATTGAAGCTTTGGAAATCACGAAACAGCTTTGATCATATTCAGTCTCGTCGCAAATCTGAGAGTAAAGGGATGTTCATCCAATCAGGTGCCATAGTGAGGATACCTTATGTCAGCAACTCTGCTTTTGTGGCGTACTCCGTAGTCAAGCCACACAACGAGACTCAGACAGCCACAAGATCTAGACATCAGCTGCATTTCTTATTCTTGTTCCAAAGTGAACACTGTAAAGTGTAATATAAAGCTATGACAGTAAGCATTAAGAATTGGCGGTTTTTGGCATGACTCCGTGCTTACACTGATTAAGGTCACAGGCTGGTCATTCAAAGGCTGACTAACTAAGTACAGAGTATCCGTAGTTAATGGTCACATGCAGTCTCATGATACGCAGCGGCAAGTGGGCCATGCGTTGCACAATAGAACAGCTACCTACCTATGTACTCAGTACTGTATCCGTACCCCTCTCAAACTGATGCATTGTGATAACAATGGCGGTTCAAGGTCAACTGTCGGTCATGGCAATGCAATTGAGTTGATGAGCTCCTGCTTAGGAGCCATGGTCAAGACTTGATTGAGTCTATTCAACTCATCATGAGTTCGACTGCTCTCATGCGTTTATGGTCTCGATATCATGAGCTGATGTCCAATTTCCTTCACCGGAAACAATGTTACCCATGTCACCTTGATCGTGTTTCTCTTTTCCGGTCCCTAAACCCCTAGCCCGTCCGAAATGCAAACGTAGCTGTACCAGGTGAACTGACGCCAGGTTCGTTGCTCGTTTCACTCATAGTATGAGGTGATGTTCCTTGCCTAGCCCACTCTAACCCCTGTTTCCCCCCTGGTTCGTGGACATAACCATCATCACACGACCTCCAGCTTATCCCGCATCGCGACCTGGAGCTCCCCGAGCTTGTGTGGGTCCTGCTCTAACACGTCATTGCCCTTTGGCGTTTGCTCTTTGTGTTTTGGTGGCTTTTTAGTGTCACATTTTGACCTCCACCTCCGCAGTTCAACGCCGACCCAGCCATGAACCCAATAAGCCCAGGATGGCATCTGGTTATCATCAGTGGTCAATTCACTTTGCCTGACTTTCCCGAACATTATTGAAAGGCGACCAAAACAATTGAATTAAATAGAGAGCTCCTAGTCTTTTTGGTATTTTCTTAGGGTTCCTCCCGCTCATCAGTCAAATACATTAAATACATAAATATTGGTCTCAATCAGGGCCATGCCTGAGCCCCTCGTAAACTCTCAATTCGTACAAGCCGGCAATCAATGCCAGGGATCTTAGACGTCGAGACCGTCGACGACAACGCCCTTGTTCCAGGTCCACTGAAGTCTCCTAGCCACCTCCAACGCAGTAAAGTCATCAATCATAGCGCTGACAAGATACAGTGCTGCATCAATGCCAGAGCTGACACCTCCGGATGTGACCACCCGGAGACCACCAAGTCGCATAGCTGCGCGGCGCACAATGGATTCACGGCGGGTGTTGGAATCCTTGAACGACATGCTTCCCTTTCTGTGAGTCATCATAAGTCAGTTTAACTGCCTCAAAGCCAATCCATGACAGAGTGGGGTATAGAGGGACCACTCTGCATGTGTTACGTACCGGGCTGCCGAAGGGCGACGTCCCTGACCAGCATCGGACTTGCGGCGGATGTATGGGCTCTCGTCTTCGCCGAGGTCGAATCGAAGGTTGTTGACGACATAGCGAGCGTCCTCGACCACATCGGTACGTTCTTGAAGGTTCACAGTAGCAGCATCGCTGCAGATGTTCTCAAAGGTAGTGAGATAGTCGGGGTGGGTAGTGGCAGAGAGGCCAGAGAGGATACCCTGCTTACCAAGGAAGAGGGCACCTGTGCAGATAGAGAGGATGGTACGCTCGCGGGCGGGGTCACGCTTCTGAAGCTCTGAGAAGTCGGTGATGAGAGAGAGGGGCTGGAGCTCTTTGGTGACAACCTCCTTGGAATTACCGCCAACGACGACGAGGATGTCAAAGTCTTCAAGACGCTCGTGAGCCTCCTTGTAGGAAATCTGGGAGCCAACGACGACGCCCTGGTCGGAGATGACCTTGGGCTCAGGACCGACGATGGTGACCTCGAAGGCCTTGTTGTCTACATGAAGGGGAAACGTGATCAGCGGGAGGGGTAGAACAAATGAATGCACCGTACACCAAAACGAGGGGTATGGACTAGTATACAGTGAGATAGAGGATACTTACTGTCAGGATCCTTGAAATCGTGTGAAGCAGTAGTAAAGACCTCGAGCGCGCCGGCAAAGTCCAGGAGATCGAACTTTTCGTGAATGGCGAAGAGAACGTCAACGGGCTCCTGGTCAGCGATGGCCGAGGTCTTCTGCGCACTCATCTTTGCGGTATTGTTGGGGGTTTAGAAGAGGGTAATAGTTGAGGAAGAATTGTGACGTGTGTTGAAGTCAAGTTGTAGAAGTAGACGAGCACTAAAAAGAAGATGCTAGCTACCACAAAAAAAGAGGTTACTGTTGTTGTTGCTGGATTGGTTTATAAGTGATCTGGATAATGATGAGAAAGGAAGGAAAGGAGAAGGAGATGAGGAAGAGCAGGAGGGCCGTTTTAAGTACAGCAAGGAATGTTATGTGGTTGCTTTGCCCTGAGTCTTTCCCCTCATCGATTGACGACTCAGGAACTGCAACCACCTCACCTCACCTCACTCAATCAAGTCCCGTCCCGTCCTTTCCTGGCCCAAAGTTGAGTGGCTCGATTCCTAGGTCAGAAGGACTCTTGAGTCTGGTGTGATCATTACCCACAAAGTCATGGCACGGTCTCGTCTGCAGCTAGTATCAGGAAACTGCGGGGTTACTAGCGCGGCGGGGCATTCCCTGAGGTTCAGGGTACCGCCGTTTGGCTGTCTCCATTGACCGTCGGACAGGTAGAGGGGACCATGTCGGGACATCAAGCTGTGACCGATCAGCTTTCTGCCGGCCCCGCTCCCTGCCGCAACCCCCAAACTCATTTTCGCTTAGACCATTACTGAAGGGTTAGTCTCTGGACGACCCCCTTGTGGCTCGAGTTCCAACCGCTGTTTTCAGTGAAGTCGCTGGTCGCCGAATGATTTTCCAGCGCACCGGGGCTCCACTCGTAAGCGCCACAACTCGCACCACCTTAAGAATTGTGCAGCGAAAGGCAAGGTACCGCCACGGCCAGCCGCGCCGCGCCGTTACCCATTCCCAAAATCAGCTGCCTGTCCTAGATACTGACTGAGCGTCACCGAATAGCTTCACCCAAATTACATCTCCGGCAGCTCTAGGTCCCTGGCTCGATATCCACACTTCTAAAGGCCTCACCATCTCGGTCTGCTCACCTTGAGTCTCACGAGCTCGGATGAGGCCGTCGAGCCCGGCATGGCTTCATCGGCGTACGTCATGTCGTTCCCTGCAGAAAACTCCATCCCCAAAACGTCGCTGGCTTGAGCTCCCCTCACTAAACGGCTCGTCTCTCATGATCTTCCATCCCATCCCCTCCTTTGTATCCTGCGGCATTCATCTCCATAGGCCAAACATTATACGCTGTCCGCTGACAATTATCTCCACTGTTTAGGTCGCTAAAGGACCTCTCCAAGGCGATCGTCGCCTTCCTCGCTGAGCCAACGGCTTCGCTGCCCGACGACTTGGAAAAGATCATTGATGCTTACCTCCGCCGACACCAGAAATATGATGACGCTACGGCAGATCGCCTGCAGGAAGAGCTCCTGTCCATTTTTGACAAGCACGTCCAAGACAGGCCTTCAGCCTTCGCGCCTTTCCTAAACATCCTTCGTCAACTGCTTTCCATACTTCGAACTCCTGAGCGGATATTTGCATGGTGGGACTCGTGCTCTGCGCTTCTAGCCAAGTCATCTCCCGAGAAAGGTGTTGTGGAAGCGTCACTGGCGAATATCATGGAGATCATATCAATCGCGGAAGAAGATCATGACGGTTCTGATTCTGACCTTTCCTCCAACCCACTTATCGACCGCCTGTTCACAGGATGGATGGAGAAGCTTTACCCGTCTGTCACCGAAGCATTATCAAGCCTTGAGGCGAACGAGAGAATTACGCGGGAGGCTCTTGTGCAGTTCGGGAAGAAGCATCCCAAGGTTAGTCATATATACCCAAATTGTATTCGTTAGGGTGTTTTCTGACATCGACAAGGAACTCTTTTCTGCGCTTGATCGTTATTTTGTGAAGAAACAGTATCGCAAAGCTGTGCTGCGCTTCTTGGGCGACTATCTTCAAAGCCAACCTCCTCACGTTCACCAGATTTTACAAACGCCACTATTTGTTGATATTTTAAAATGCCTACAACAGGATAGCTCAACGACCATAGTGTCAGCCGCACTGACAGTTGTCATTATGTTACTTCCACAGATGCCAAGCTCGCTGGTTCCGCATCTACCTACGCTATTCAACGTCTATGCGAGGCTATTATTCTGGTCAAGGGAACGGGCCGGCGTAGTTGAGCCTCAGCCAGAGGATGCAGATTCATCCAATTGGGAAGAATGCAGTTATGAGGCAGACGTCGATGATCACCCTGTCTATCACCTCCTTAACTACTATACCATTCTTTATGGTCTCTATCCCATCAACTTCATGGACTATATTCGCAAGCCTCAGAGATATCTACGTCACGCCAATGTTGCAAATGCCAACGATATGGAAGTTCAGCCTACCGAGATTCGAGACCAATCAGAAAGATTCCGTCAATGCCATTTACTTCACCCAAACTTCTTCACTCTCACGATTGATTCGGAAAAGACGGATTTTGGTCGCTGGATCAAGAGCGAGGCCTCAGAGGTTGTTGCTGAGTGCATGGCTTTGTGTCTTGCAAACGATTCCAACCAGTCTTTCAGGCAGCCTTTGTCTGCATCTGAAGCATCTCCATCGAACGAAGGATTTGTCAAAGAAAATCACCCTTCCCTTCCAATAACGACGACTGAATCACACGGCGGCTATCGTTTGCCTACATCCGCCAGCTCGGACTCGTTAGCGAGCAGTCGTCGGCCATCAGCTCTCATTCGGCGGGCTTCCCAATCAAGCATCCCATCAACTCGGGATTCTATTGATGCCAGGATAAGAGAACCAAACGCCGACAGTCCGACCCTTGGCCCTCATCTCATCCAATCTTCCTCTCATACACAACTGCAGGACATGATCCAATCTAACAAGGCCATCAAGTCCGGTTTGCATCAGTCTTTGGCTAATGATAGTGTGCCATCACTATCACTCAGCAATCAAGATTCTGTGGCTGATCGGCCTGGCCCATCGCTACTTGGCGCTCCGCCGACTATTAGCACGCCCCTTTCCTTGACTGAGACGAATACACAAGTGGCTCATCTACAGCGCCAGATCCTACTCTTGCAGAATGACCTAAATTTTGAGAGATATCTAAAACAACAACATATGGCCCATATTGGTGACTTGCGCAGACGGCATATGGAGGAAGCTGTGACAGAGGCAGAAACACAGAATCTACTCATCACAAACCGTAACTTGAAGCATCGGTTTGAGGAAGCGAAGAAAGCGGAGATGCAAGTTCGGCGGGATTCGGAGAAGAGTCGTGCCCTTGCGAAGAAGTGGGAAGCTGACCTTTCCACCAAGCTTAAGAAGCTGCGTGACGAATCAAAGCGACTCAAGGCTGACTATGAAGCGCTCCAGAAGGAGCTAGATAACTCCACGGCGGAGCGTGACAAGTTGAGGGTACTACTGTGCGAGGCCGAAGTCAAGGAGGTCAATTGGAAGCAGAATATGCAGTCCATCGAAATTCACAGCGCTGAAATCGACCGCTTGAAAAGTGAAGTCGATAGGTTGACAAAGGTTGAACGTGATTTCCAGGCCAAGGAACTCGAGCAACAAAGGGCAATCGCTGCCGCTGCAGGTGCAGAGAGCAGAGTTGAGGCTCTAAATCTTCAGCTCGCCAGCCGAGAGAATGAAATCGAGCGTACTAGGAAGTTGTTCCAGAACCAGGTTGCAGCCCTACAGGCGAAGCTATCTGAGGCGCAGGAGGAAAGAATTCAACCTTCTCGAGATAGCAAAGCAGCAATTCAGGCAATGCTTGCAGCGAGTCGAGAGAAGCAAGCTGAACTACAGAAGCAGTGCGACCTGCTGATGCGCAAATACACCGCCCTGCAATCATCGTTCCTGGATATGAAGACGGAAACGAAGCCAAGACATCTCAGGATCGAGACTTCACCAGATGGAGAACATGATTCGTCGTCCATATCAACGAGCCCCGTCATGATGAAAACGCGGCCACAGCGTGTGCTCTCAAGCCCTGACATGGCAGAGGGCACTGCATATAATGTCACGCCACCTCTCGGGCACAAGCCTGAAGCTGCCTTATCACCGAAGTCAGGGGGTTGGGCACATCCACCAGGGTCACCATTGGGAACAGATGCATCATCTCTATCCATGAGCCCGGATCACCAGCGATTCGGACGCAGTGAAGGAGGGCGATTACTTGCCAGGAGTCACTCGGACTTATTTGCCAGCGCAACACACAATCGACTCCGTAAAGATTCGAAAGACAAGGGCAAAGAGGAGACAGGCGCGAAAAAAGACAAGAAACCATCGGCGTTGAGGGGAATCCGGGGCTTCATGTATGAATGAGAACATGATTGTGACAAGGTGAGCAATGGCGATGGTTGATATACTGGCCGGTTTTAACATATTTGCGTACATGTGGCAGTCATTCTTGAATAAATCATTAATCTCGTCGCCATCCACCTCATTTGACCAGCAGCACTGAATACTAAATATGAAATCACTATGTTCTGAGTAAGGCACGAACACAAAAAAATGTCAGCGATGTTAAAGAATGAGCTATGAGAGTACATGTCAGAACTCGTTTCTAGTCACCAATGATGCATACACATAGGTGGTAGCGCATGTGGATTGTCAGCCTAAATACCGGTAACACGCCAGCAGCTTCTCTCAGCAGCATTCGCCATACTTGCCAACTTATGGTTTACCCCGGGGCGGTCCATTTAAGATGGTCGATGATACCGCTGCATGAGCAGTTGAGCATTGAGCACAGATGGATGTTCGGTCGGCATCCATGAACTCCGTTACCACTGTGACGTTCAACAATTGGACGGCTTCCGTAGCTCAGTTGGTTAGAGCGTCGTACTAATACTTCAATCCGAGTGTTCGGTAATGCGAAGGTCTCAGGTTCAAGCCCTGGCGGGAGCAATCCCAGTGCCTTCCGATTGTTACTTTTTGCAATTTCTTGTATCTCGGACTACGTTTTTGTTTTGCAGGCGTGCTTTGAAGTTGGTCTGGGGTATCCTTGCTGTGATATAAAACCCTGGAAGAGCTTAATGCTTGATGTAAACGGGGCTAAATGGCTGATTGCGGGATGCGAGGTCATGACCTATCGGATAAAATAATAAATAATAGACAGGTTAGTTAGATATAATAGACTTTTTCTCCTTTTTTCCTTGTCTAACGCATGGACTTCATTTCTGAAGAAAACATTAAGAGTAAACCGACTGGCTGCTTATTATATCAATGTGACTCAGATGTTCTTGGATATTCTCTTATAAATAAGATCGCGATCTGAGGGCAGCTGAGCGGTCAATTCTTATTGTGTCTCTGACTGTGTTTTGATATACGTCATTTTGTTCTGGACGTGACCATGTCTTGAGACATGTTTCTCATCTGATGATTCAGATTGAAAAGCTAAAGGTCTGATGAAGATTGCTAGAACAGAAGTTAGTGCAGCCCTTTGTTCTTCCGTGAAAATCGTCCTTTGTAAGAGATCAAGCTCGACTCGGGCTGTTTGTGGTCCATGTTCTAATGTTGGATCCTTTTCCAACGGGTGTGGGGATTTACAGTACAGGGGATGCCGGGTGTGGGGTGAGGTATGGTGAGGGTATACCGTAGTAGTCGATCTGTTGAACAAAATAGAGGGAATCCGGATTTCCATAATAAAGGAAGCCTATTTTCCGGTCTGGCAAGAAAAAGGATCGATCAGTACTCCATACCTCTACAAGAGTCTCATAGAAAACAATTCTCGCAGCAGAGCGCTGTCATTTCGCAATTTGACCGGGGATACGGACGGTCATGGTATGCATCTGGCTGCAATGCCGATCTGGCACGCTCCAGCCGCATGTGGATAACAACCGATAGACTCACTCGCTTCTCACCCAATCTGAGCAACTTTCTGGTCGACTACTGTGCATGTAAGTAATTGGACCCCCGCGTATTAGTGCCTATTTAGGAGCTGGTTGGCTGGTTGGTTGTCATTGAGCCGCTCCCATTGTCATGTATGATGGAACAGGTGCGGGATAACTGCAGCGAGAGGCTGTGCTCGAGGAAGGTCGAGATTTGGAGAGGATAGCGGTGAGGACAATTGAGCCGAGGAATGCGCACATCAGAATTGGAACTTTTGCAGATACGTCGTTTTGGTGTTTCTTCTGGTGGTACCTGAAGTCTGGTGATGATAAGACAAAACGTTCGAGTCACTCGCTACACGGCCATTGTGTGCGCTGATGGATGATAGCTACCTGCTCGAGGGGATCACCTTACTTTTAGTTATGGCTGAGGTGCATTTATCTCTGGAATTGAGAACAACTGACAATCTGACAGGGACAAAGCCGTTGACTCGTGGATGGAAATGACGTAGAGACTGAGTGCCACGTGAAGTACTCTGGGCCATTAGCGCATGTCGTCAGCGGACCTGAGGCTCCTGAAAGGCCGTGCGTTCTGGTTTCAGCGGGGTTGGTTAGCGGATTTCCAGTGGACTGGGCCTTGCAGAGGCGCCTGAACCGACAGGGGGGGAATGGCTGAGTGAATGAATGACCTCTGGTGTTGATATCACGTATCTAAAGGCAACCAATGTCTACAGATACTCGTAAAGATCTCTGAAAAGGGAACGTTGAAATGGGGTTTACTCCTTTACATTATGCCCTCTCATGTTGAGTAGCTAGAGGTTAATCGTATCAAGTATGATTGCAGTATCTCTATCAATGCTTGCTGCCTAATATACTTGACTCATCAGATACCTTAGGTAGGTACCAACCATACTTGTCATTGTTTGTTGACTTCGTTACCATTCATCGCCGGATGCCGCCGCTCAACGTCGGGTTTACTTATTCTGTGTCTCTTCCTTCAGCTCTCATCTCTACCTACCTAGGTACCTAGGCTCATGATCAATCATTCTACGCCAACTCTATCTCTTAAAGAATCTGTCCTGCATTATCGACAATCGATGCCCCAACTTCTGCGCCCGAGATCCCTCCATTGTTTACACGCCCCTAGGCATGAAATTCAAATAAGCATCCTTCACAATAAGAAAGAGTTAAGCTACTAACTTACCTTACTATACCGACACCACCACCACCAAGAACCCACGACCCTCTTTTCTTTTGCGCCTATCTTTTTTTACCCTTTCCTCTCTTTTAACAACTTCAGCTTCTTTTCTTCTTTTCTCTCTCTTTTTTGCTTCCCTTCTTTTTCGTACGCCTCGGGTTTCTTTCTTCCCCCTTTCCTTCTCTTCGTCCTTTTCTAAGAGGGAGGTCCCAAACTCCCCCTCCGCTCTTGGCAAACGACGCGACCATCACCAATAATCATGTCGTCGCTCGAAGCCAAGATCGTCGTCCTCGGCGCACAAGGCGTTGGGAAGACGTCTCTGGTTATGAGATACTGCAAGGGCGCATTCAACCCGGCTCAGATCACTTCTACCGTCGGCGCCAGCTTTCTCACAAAGCGCGTCGTTGACTCTGACTCGGATACCGTTGTGCGCCTTCAGATATGGGATACAGGTTGGTTTTGATAAGGAGCCAAACAAGTTTTTATTCTCTCATGTGCTAACCTTGACTTGCAGCCGGCCAAGAACGCTTTCGTTCCATCTCCCGCTTGTACTATCGTGGCGCAAACGCCTGCATCCTCTGCTACAGCATCACAGACGCACAGTCATTCGCCGATATGGGTGTATGGCTCATGGAACTTCGACGAAACCTCCCTCACGATGTCGTTCTTCACGTAGTCGGCACAAAAGCCGACATTGTCGCCCGCGATCCCTCAGCCCGCCAGGTCCCATTCGAGCGTTGTATCGCATACGTCGCTGAGAACCTTGCCCCGGGCATGGGCAGCACGCCGCCTCCGACCGCAACCCCTTACCACGTACCGACGCCTATGTCAGGCGGCCAGGCAATGTCTCCTCCATCTATGGAGCCTCGGAGCCCCAGCTCGAAGCGAAGCTCTGGATTCTGGGCACAGGAGGTTGGCTGGGACGCTTGTCATGAAATCAGCGCCGAAACAGGAGAGGGTGTCGAGGAAGTCTTTCGTGTTGTCACCCGCAAGCTTGTTGAGCAGAACCGCAAGATGCAGCAGGCCCTTCTAATGGCCACTGCCATCCCTGGTACACCAGGTTACGAAGCCGGCATGGACGGAGGCTATTTTGCAGGTGCAGACGCACGAGGGAGTTTCCGAGTAGGCCGCGATCGTCGAAGTTGGCTCTTCTCGCCAGGTTTCTCGCCCGCCGTTACGGTCGAGCAGGCGGGAACCCAGGAGCAGACACAGGCAGACGGCTGGGATCGAAAAGAGCGCAAGAAGTGCTGTTGATTTTCTTGATTGCCAAATACTAAACTAGACGAGCGAAGATGATACGATGTGATGGAAAGAGATGTAGACGTTGTATGGACATAGGAAACGAGGTCATGTCTACAACGAATTCCCCACGGCAACGACAGAAGAGGAGCTTTAGGATGGTTTCGACGACTGAGCGCATATGTTTGATACCCGGTCTTTTTCGTGTTTCCTATTTTTGTTTTGTTTTTATAGGTCATGTTTTGCGGTGCGGGTTGGTTCACAGTCAGGGTGTTTTTCGTCTTTGATACTGGCAGCCTGGTCCCGGTCCATTTACTATTTCTGTACGCAAATGCATAATTTCTTTCCTCGCTTCTCTTGTCTTCTCTTATCTTGATTCAGTTCATGCATGGTGCATCAGGCGGGTCTTGTTTTGTTCTACTATTTCTCAATTGGGAGTTGGACGAGAGGGTCATGAGAGGTAGAATTTCCATTTCTGACTTAGAACACATTATGCATTATTATTTGGTTCATACCTGTCTTTTGACATCGCCGTATCTCCTATTTATAGCCAAAGTGCCTTGACACTCTTCTATACTGACTGGCCTGTGGTAGTGAGTGGCTAAGCCGGCAGCATCCGGGATACCCCACCCCCACCTGTTCCGGTCGGAGGTCGGATGTTACCCCCGCATCATCCCGTTATCCGCCATCCCGCACTCGGGACTATGGAATTGAAAAACTGCCGCCAACACCAGTCGACTTTCACTACCTAGACATCCTCTTAAGCAGTTGGTCCTCCACTCTTTTTCTCTCCCTCTTCCTCCCCTCCCCTCCCATATCACTACCTGCTGGCCTCAACCTCGAAACAATGGCCCACCCTCAAGGAAATCTCGCAAACCTTCTCCCTCCTTCGTGGAAAGCCTCAGTAACCACTTGGCTAGCTGAGGATACGCCTTCGTTCGATTACGCCGGCTTCGTTGTCGGCGACGGTCCCCGCGTCGCGACACTCTGGGGTAAATCCAGCGGCATCATCGCCGGCCGGCCCTTCTTCGACGAGGTCTTTACGCAGTGCGGCTGCACCGTGGAGTGGCATGCTGAAGAGGGAACAGCTGTTGACCTGAGCAACGGCAAACATCGAGTCGCAACAGTCAAGGGCCCTGTTCGCGGAATTCTCCTGGGTGAGCGCGTTGCTCTCAACACACTCGCACGATGCTCTGGCGTCGCTACCAAGAGCCAGAGACTTGTATCCATTGCGCGTGAGGCCGGGTATACAGGTGTGATTGCAGGAACACGAAAGACAACACCGGGATTCCGCCTCGTTGAGAAGTACGGCATGCTAGTCGGTGGCGCGGATGCCCACAGAATGGATCTCAGCGCCATGATCATGCTCAAGGATAACCACGTCTGGAGTCGAGGCAGTATCACCGATGCTGTCAAGGCTGCCAAGTCGGTTGGTGGCTTCAGTATGAAGGTTGAGGTTGAGGTTCAGAGCGAGGCTGAGGCTGACGAGGCCATTGAGGCTGGCGCCGATGTAGTCATGTTGGACAACTTCACTGGTGATGGTGTCAAGGTCGCTTCAAGAAGTCTCAAGGAGCGATGGCAAGGGAAGAGGCACTTCCTGCTTGAGACATCTGGTGGACTTCAGGAAGATAACTTTGAGGCCTACTTGTGCAATGGTGAGTACCTGGAAGGCTTTTTTATGAGCATGTCGATGCTAACGGACTTCAGATGTCGATATTTTGTCAACAAGTTCTATTCATCAGGGAGTGCCGCACATCGATTTCTCACTCAAGATCGAGCACTAGGTCAAGATAATAAAAGTACAATGATTGATATCCACTCAAAGCAAGAATCCGTTATGTTGGTAACTCCAGGTCGAGTGTTGACTTTGTAGACTTCCCTGTGTCACATGAACAACTTGATAATATTCATCTGCCTCGCAAGTATCTCTACCATCTAAGGACTTCTACTTCTCTTGTTCAGGGGCTTGGGGGTGTCTGAGCGCGATGTTATCGCGCTACTTGAAATTCTCGTCGATGGAGCATACAAAGCAGGGTTGGAGGTGAAGAAGTCAGCAAGACGGGAACGAATCTCTTCTTCGACAGGCCTGCGCCATCGTCAGCAATCTCTGATTCAGATGTCAGGGTCGCCAGGCACAAGCATAGTCCTCTTCAACTATTGGGTTGTGTGACACCAGAAGACGACAAGACGATTGCTTTTCCTTTGCTTCCAGTCTTCATCTCTTCAGTCGTCTTTCGTTCCTTGTTCATCCATGTAAATGCTCGTGTGTCTTGATGTTTCAGCACAGCGCTCTAAGTATAATCAACTCGTCATGTAAAAGTTGAGTACTAGAATGGGAGCTTTGGGCAGCCTTGGACCCAGTATAGCCACAACGAGTACCTAGATCTCATAGCTACGGCATACCTCGGACTACTATGCACTATTTACCTCTCTATAAATACTTCAAGTCTATTGCATATATTGGTAGTATATCAGAATTATCATAAACTCCAGAAGCAGATGAAATGACGAAGGCCAACGGCATACTCAAGCACGCACGACTTCACCTTCAAAGTTGTCACCGTATCATCAAAATTTTCGAATCATACGAGAACGTGTCGGCAAACCCTTGATGCCATTTGTGTCTATCGACGTGCAACTGTCTGAAGGAAGCATTCATCAAACACCCTTTTGTAAAACCCCAAAACGGCCGTGAGCAAGAGTCAATACACACATGACTCACTACCAGGCAATGAAAAGAAGAGACAACGCGGTTTGAAAGAACTTGCACAGGCACTCTTCGTTAATCTTCATTCCTTGCGCGCCCTCCACCCTATCTGATATCATTTTCATAGACGCCAGGCATGTAAAGTCAAGACCATGAGAAGAAAAACGTTGGCCAGGTGGCCCCATGTTGAGCAAAGAAGATCGTAAAGTACGATGATGCGTAACGTACATTGAGAATCGAAATGAAGAGAAAAAGGAAACAGTTGCTGTAGACGTGGTCTAGGGGGCTACGTCTTCTGCCACCTCACTAGATACGAGTGCTCGCCAACCAAGACATGCCGGGATTCCTCATACCCGCGATCGACGTAGAAGCGTGCCATATCCGTTCATCAGATAGCTTAGAGCTTAGACAGTAACGCGCTTCTCACCCTTGGGCTTGAGGACGTTGTCGCCGTAACGGCCGCCAAAGTTACCTGTAAAGTTAGCGATGTTTGCATCGTCAGCACAGAGATGAACATACCCTGAGGGTTGTAGTTGCACACGGTGTACCAGGAGGGGAAGCTGAGAACAGTTCCTGCAGGGCACTTGACTGTGGCGCAGCCAACCTTGGTGGAGTCCTTCCAGACAACCTGAGTGAAGTGACCATAGAGGTCAATGTTCATATCAGCAGGAGGGTTCTCCTGGCCGTAGAAAGCCCAGTTGGCCATCTCGTTGTTGTACCACTGGTTGGTAATACCACCAGCAGCAGCCTTGTTCTTGAGGCCATCAATATCGCTTGTGGCACCCCATGAAGCGAGGTTCTGGCCGTAGCCGCCATTGCCTTGCTTCCTAGAGATTTGTCAGTCATCAATTCTTAGTCCACACATGTCAACGACTTACATATCGTGCTCGAAAACACAACCGTTGGCGGTGTTCTCGGCGTAGCCGGCGAGCTCATCATCCCACTCAAGGGCAGAGGCAGAGTGGTTAAGACGGTGGATGTTGTGGTAGGCGAGCATAACAGTGTTATAGGCACCATCCAGGGAGAGGTCATCACCTCCGCTAGCAGGGACCTCAACCTTGGGCTCGGCAACCTTGGTAGGCTTGGCGACAACCTTTGAGATGGTAGTCTTGGGCTTCTCGACGACGGGTGCGGGAGACTCATAGACGGTTTCCTTAGTAGACTCAGGCTGGGGCTCGACAGTAACGACCGTAACCTTGGGGGCCTCTGCGGTGGTCGACGGCTTGCTGACCGGCTTCTTGACCTTCTTGGGCTTCGCGGCCTCCTTGGTGGTTGAAGGAGCCGTATACTTGGGAGCGGGAGCTTCCATAAACACAACGCCAGTGGGCTTTGTGGCCGCTGGAGCAGTGGTCTCGGGCTCCTCGCCAGCAACAACGGTGACGGTAACAACCTCGTAGACCCACTCGGTCTTCATCTCTCTCTTCTCGAGAGCATTTCGAATAGGGCTGGCCGAAGCCAAGATGGCGCTAGCGCCGAGGAGGAACATAGACGCCTTCATGGTGATCGGTGAACAGGCACAAGACGGAATGGGGTGAGCTGGAAATAGAGTCAGTTATATAAGCTTGAGAGATATTAGGTGTGGCTGTTTTCAGTTGAGCAAACGTCAGACCAATGCCACTTGGCAATAGATGTTTCCGTGTTTTTGATGAATGCGACGAGGCTAAGATGTAGCGAGGGTGGAATGATGTTTCTTGTGGGGAATGTTTGGACGAGAACGTATAAGACATTTGTTGTTGAGACAATTTCGTGTGAAATAAGATGAAGTAAACATCGATATATCGAGTTGAAGGGGATTTCCCTTGCTGAGTACTTAAGGGACTCATGGCCGCTATCGATGGTGACAAAAGACATGGCTCTGCTTCGGCGATGTTCTGTCGAGGACAAGGCCGAGTCGGTGTTGTGAAAGGGAGGATATCGATAAAGACTCCCTCAAAGACCGGGGTTGGTGGAGCAAGGCGAGACAAAGAGGCGGACACAGATAATGGATGCAGGTACAGAAATGCAGGGTTCAGACAATAGTGGTTCAGACTACAGTATGCTTGCTTACCTTTTTGTGGTGGGTAGTGTCTGTAGATGGGCTTGACGTTGGATTTGATTCAGAACCAGTCTGGTGAGCGGTTGACAGCACTGCTGAAGTTGAGATTCCGTCTAGGAGTCTCGAAAAGAGTTTTGGTGTGGTTGAACAACGACTGAAGTTCAACGATTGAAGGAGTGAGAGAAGGATGAACCGAAGGAAGGACGACTTGATCAACTTTGCTTTGCAATACCGAAAGGTGAGGTCAAGAAGATGAGGGAGGTCTTGGGACTATATCAACGGTTCAACCGGAGGCTTGGCTTTAAAGTTTTGGTTTTGAAGGAGTGGACTGCAATGTCGTAGACACGCAAACAAAGGAGTGGCAGGCCCTGCTATCGTTCGACGAAGACTCTTGGAGGGGGGTGAGGGAGAGGAAAGAAGAGTCGAGATGGCTTCGGAGCGGACGACGACGTTAAAAAGGAACTGCTCGGCGGGTAGCAGACGGACAGCCACTGTTAGCCCAGGGGCGATTGGCTAGATGGTGCGGTATTGATTGGATGCTTTGCAGGGGGTATCTGGGGATCTCGCGAGCCTGCAATCGAGTGTGAGCTGGGGTGTGGTGCAGGGGACGAAGCCGGGGGTGTCGTTCGAGAACCAACCTAGGTAGTTAACTTACTATCAGAGTTGAGAGCGGCAACAGCGAGAAGCTGTTAGTGAAGTGCAAGACGAGCAAATGAGTGTGAAATGTGAATAAAGTGAGCGTGAATAGTGGATAGTTGAAAAGAAAGAAAGCGGAGAATGAATTTGACTTTGAGGGAAAGTGAAGGGAGGTCCTGAGAAGAGATGAGGCTGCCAATGTTTTGGCTACAATGCGGTGCGTTGCCAAGGGCCGTCGCAGTTGGCAAGCACTGTCAAAGTGACTACTAGCTGGCACTGACAGTGACACCCGACTAGGTACTGCCCTGAGATTGCCTTCCTCCTGCTTGCGTCCCTTCCATTGGGTTGTTGTTGTTGTTGTCCTGGGCAGGGTAGTTGCTACAAAGACCCCTGGAACGCGGGCTGCAATACGCTAGTGCCTCAAGCCAGTGGAGGGGTGCGTTAGCTGGGCGCTAGAAAAATGGCGGGAATGGATGCTGCAAGGCACCCAGGAACGAATCATGCATTAGCCCAGTGCCTTGAATTGGACAGAACGGGACGGGAGGCATTGATGAGCGTCCAGTGGCTTTGACATCTACCTAGTGCCGTCATATTGAAATCCAGCCCGAGTTACATACATGCCCAATGGCATTGATTGACTGTCTAGCATTTGAAGGGTTCGTAGAATCCTCGCTCTTGCAGCTATTGACTGAATAACTCGACGCACACGCTATTATTCACAGCGCAAAGCAATTGCCTCGAGGACAACATCTTCGGTGTACGGCAGACGCACGGGCCTTGAACCACGATGATGAAACTCGTGGCTTACATACTCGATCCCCTTTTGCCTGTGTGCGCAGCATTGACGCCTCTGATGAAAGACTGGACGGTACCTGCATTTAGGTGCCATGTTCTAATTTTCTTGCTGTGACACCACGCATAGGTCAGTCCAACCGTCCAACCTGACGACGGCCGCTGATTGACTGCAACCACAAACACGTCCAGCTACATCATAATCGCAACCCAGTGACTTGGTAGAAACATATCGGTTTCAATGCGACGATCACACATATCTACGTGGTATCTACGTACAGAGATTTGGCTTCTACAGCATAGCATCGCAACATTGCATTGCAGCGCCAGCATTGACTGCATAGGCGGGCAGCTAATCAAATCAACACACGATCCAGGATTGGGACCCTTGCTATGCTCAAACACAGTGGAAAAGAGTAATCAACTGATTCAGATCATAACAGACCTGGCCCTGGCCCAAGGTAATTAATTACCAGTCATCTCAGCTCTGGCTGTGTTCTTGGCTGCTGGGCGTTTGATGCTGGGTTTGATTGTGGTGAGGCAGGCTGTTGGTGTTGGTGTTGCTCATTGACGTAGCATCCGTCCCCTCATCTCATATCCGGTTCTTTTCCTTT